CTCTTTTTCCTGAGATGAAGCATGGACCTTATTGGACTGCATTAGAGTTAGTGTTATATATTCTTCATATATTTTGATGAACAAGAAACAAAAATTCCAGGATCTGGAGGGGGCAACATATGTAAACACCTACATTTACCATCAGTATCACCATGCCAAAGTACTTAATCACAGAAGTTGTAATTTTTAGTCTTCCATATTTTTTGAGACTCAATTATTAAGAGGCCCCAAGGTTGCTGGAGTGTAGTATTAATTGGTCTCAATAATATACAGATTTGAAATGTAGGAAGGTGTTGATAGTTTAGAGAAGTGTTAATGATGTTTGCTAATGAATCCATTCTACATTCAAAGAAAGCTATTAGGTGCATGGAAATGCTTGTTTACATATTATTATAGAGGAAAAATTCATGTGCTGTAATGTATCATATCCTTTGTCTTAGTTTTGTTGTAGCTTCTGTGTAGTTTCTGTAAAGTAGACAAGCTTTGTGACATGCTAAAAAAATAGCCATTTAAAACCGATAAAGTATACCTGGTGGTGAAAAATAAGTAATTGGGAAGTGTTTCTTCCCAGCATAATGTGGGGCAATGCTGCTGAATAGTTACACTGTTATGGAAATAATTCCATGCAGTTTCTTGAATTTTCTCTAAAAGTGGTCATATTTTGGCATGTACGGTACAGAGAAATTGGACCTGAAACATTAGTAGTGATCAAAATATTGCATCATCTTCGCAATAGAAGGTGCACAAAATTGTTCAGCCATAGGCATTTGGGCAGCTGGGAAGAGAAGACTTCCCTTGATGTCCCCCATATGTCTGAGGAAGCCTTTTTTTGGGGGGGGGAGGTTTTCCATTTTAACAAAGCACTTCAGCTTTGCTTTCAGTGTTCTCATGGACTGGGGAAGCCTCTAGTAGTGCCTTCTGACTCCAGAGCCAAACTGCCTCTTGGCAGACCCTCCCTGAGGGTCCTGGTCTGAAGGGAGCAGTCAGTTCCTCTGTACTCCAGATTGTAGGGGCTGTATTATTCTGTAATATTCTAGTATTCTAATATATCTTTGCTGGAAGAGTGCTCCAGCGAAAACCTGAGAATGTATCAGTGTAAATGTCAGTATAGAATATACTACAGGCTTTCCTGTCACTGTGTTATTTACTTAATGCTTGGTGATCATAAAGTTGATGAAATTTCAAGTTCCAGAAAAGCTAACGTTACAAGGCTAAATGAAGATCCTTCACATCATAACACACTCCCAGAATTTTATTTAAATATTTTGTAATAGAAGATATGTGGAGAGATCACAATGTTGTCTCAATAAGTCAAATTCTTCACGGTTTTTTTGATGCAGGATGGAAGGCTGACGTTTTATTTAACATGAACATCTGTGTAGAAGAAATTTATGCTAATGTAGGCTTAAAAGGAAGCATGATTCTGAGGATTGTTAATCGCACCTAAGTAAAAATAGCTTCCCATTGGTGTTCTAATGGGATGTTGAACATCTGTATATAAAATGTTGAAATCTACCAGGAAAACAAGCTAAATGGTAAAGGCAGGCAAAGATGGAACAAAACAAATGACAGAGTTAAATGTACACATTTTGCCCAAAGCAAAAGCAAAGATGAAAGCAATTAATTGCAGGAGGGGGATGAAATCAGCTGGATTACAGGAGGGGGATAAAATGAGAGGCTTTCCCTCCTGCTGCATCTTAATATTTACATTTTTACATCTTGGATTTTTACATATTTATTGGTTCTATTGTCTTTAAATTTTGTAATGCCACCCAGAGTAGATCCTGTCTAGATGGGTGGGGTATAAATATAATCAATCAATCAATCAATCATCAAATAAATAAATAAATAAATAAATAAATAAAATTCAGATCAAATCTAAGAGCCTTTTAGAATATTATAAATGTCTAGTTTCTCCGAGACTAGGTCATGACGTCTTTACATTTTTGCTATACTGATAATTAAATTAAATCATTTTAGTACACACTAGGCAACAGGTTTAATTGGAAGCAAATTTCAATCAAGATAATTAAACTAACATAATTTAATATTTTACTGACAAATGGTTTTAAATATAATTTAACTAGAAAGAACATTAGGAAAATCCAGCAGGAAATAAAGCATTATTATTGTTACTGCTTTGCTAAATACTGGATTTATGCTGTGTAAAAGCATGCACATAATTTTGCCATCTTCGATAGTATTAATTATAATAATTGCACTATGCTAGTTATTTTTTTTTTACATTGTTTAATGTGTTTTAATTTTTGTAAGCCGCCCCGAGTAGACATTGTCTAGAGGGGCGGGGCAAAAAATGAATAAATAAATAAATAAATAAATAAATAAATAAATAAATAAATAAATAACCACCAGAATGTATGCTATTAGAAACCAGCTGCACTATACATTTATTGTTCCAAATTACAATTTCTTTTATTTCTATCTGTAGATATGTGACTGTAGATACCTAATGATTTAGTTCACTGAAGGAAAATAGAAAGTGGTAAAAATAGTCCATTAAAAAGAAAATAACTACAATGAACACAATGCAGAGAGCAGACTGATTTCAATTCTTTGGGGAAAGAGCCTCAGGGCCAGTAATATCACCTGTACTCCAGAGTATTAATGAGAATGCTGGATCACGAAGAAATCCAGCAGGGGGGAAATGGTTCATTAAAATATGGGTACTGGAGGAGAGTTTTCTGGATATTGAGGACTGTCAGAAGGATGAACAAGAGGGTCCTAGATCAAATAAAAGTCAAACACTCTCTATGTGGATTCCTCCTGAGGGTCGGAAAAAATAATTTGACTTCTATATTGATTGCTTCCACTACTGCACGCAGGCTGAGAACATCAGCAAAGGACATGGTTTACCACACCATCTCAACCAGAAGGAGCATAATGTCATGCACAGCCTCAAAAACAATCCTAACAGACAGATAAGGCAAAGCTCTTGAGGGGCTGTGGCCAATGAAACAGAGGGCATAGAAACAGTGAAGGAGGGGAAGAGTCTTTCATTACAAGATGATAGAAGAATTACGTACATCTGCTTTGAGTGCAAAAACAGATGTGGCCTTTTTCCTACCCATTATTTATTTTTGCCAGGTGAAATTAAAGTGTGTGTGTGTGTGTGTGTGTGCGAGAGAGAGAGAGAGAGAGAGAGAGAGTACCATCAGGATAGAATAATGTCTACAATAGAACAAAAACATATGTTAAACTGTGGAGACATGATGCCAAGCTTCAGTTGTTTTCGTAATGTTACCTCTGCAAGCTAGAACAACTGGTTCTTATTAGAGAAGCGTGACAAGGCACATTGGACTGCTGTTGTGCTGTGTGTCATAGAAACAGTCCACACCTTTGTTAATTCTTTAACCCGTGGAACTGTTATGTGCATTGACATTACATGCATCATTGCTACCTGAATACAGTGCTCAGAAAAACAAATGAATTGATCCTTCTGGCATTTATTAGTTTGCGGCCTCATAGCTTTTCATATTTTTTTTTCACTGTAGAAAAACAACTGTAATTCTGGGAAAAAAATGAAAAACAATTATTCAGCATAATTTGATTTTTTAGTATTGTCTTATCTTTATTCTTTAAGACATTAGTATTTCTTTATTGGGGGGAAAGGACAAAGTAAAGAACCCCTTCCACGTGGGCTGTACATTACTGGACTGTAGGACCTCTTTTCATTTTCATTGTGACACTCTGCCACTTGCTCCTAATAGTATTAACTGAAGAAAGAAGCATGGGCAACATAGGCACAGTTTTGTTGTTTCCATTCCGCTTCATTGAGTGTTACTTGCAAGGTTGAGGAATTTTAGAAACGACGCTGCCTCAAGTGGTGACATATATCTGTTTGTCATAGCACATGATTTTCTCACTCTTTGATTTATAGGAAGGAATACAAATTTCTCTTTACAACCGGTTTGATCCTAAATCTTGGTTGATAATTGTAGATTTGCACAGGCTCACATACTGTTTAGATTCAATCTGCTTCACTGGTACACGTGCCTTGAGGATCTGCCTTGTCCGTTATTGTTTCTCCTACTCCACTAAGTTTTAAAGAATACATCTCTCTCTCTCTCTCTCTCTCTCTCTGTGTGTGTGTGTGTGTGTGTGTGTTGAAGTAGCTTTTTTTTTAAAAAAAGACTGGATTTAAGATTACATATGATGGAGATGTGAGATTTCTGAAATCCGTCTCCAAAGCTATTGTTTTCCCCACTGGTAAAATGTAGAGATACGTACCCATTTTAAACAACCCTAATCAATGGTCATGATCCAGATCTTCTTTTCACCCACAGTTGCATTTCCTCTAAAGAGGAAAATGCTGGATGTTCCTCAAAACCGAATCCCCACATCATGTATTATTTTAACCCTTGTAGTCACATCAACTACATATTTTAGATGTAAACCTGATGTTGACAGAAATATGAAATAACTTATTGATTTCTCACATATTGATTTCTAGTATATTCATATAATAGCTGAAATTCTGTTGCTGTAACTTAAGCCACATAAGGAGTTTCAGATCATTAGCTGCAGCAATTTTCCAGAAATTAAACTTTTCCACTTCTCTCCCTTGAAGGTTCTTGCTCCCTTGGGATCTCTTTCTTCACTGTTGGGGGCCATAGATGGGAGGAAATCTTTAATTTTCAAAAACCATTGCCACCAGAATTATTTTACTTATGGTGGCAATTACTAGAAATTAACTATTCCCAACAGCTCATGGCCTCCAACAGCTTTCCCATGACGAAAGGCATTCCAGGTGAGTCTCAAGATGTTTGTTGTGGGTGGTGGGATCAGAAATATTTAATTTCTGAAAAATTACCATGGCTGATTGCAGCATCAGCCTTACCTAGCAAAGTTGTGCAACAGGATTTTAGTCAATATGACATTGCTCCTTACCGTATTATGAATTTATGCTGAATATGCCAAATGCTTATCTTCTTTCTGCTTATCTTGAAAGAAATCTTTTATACTGTTTATCTTTTTCCTAGATATTAGCTTTGCGTGAACAAAATGCACACATTCAAAGGAAAATGGCCTCAGGAGAGGTCCCTCCGGATTCTGAGCATATCAAAGGAATGGAGCCCGGGCAAAAAGTTCATGAAAAGGTAAAAATCCTAGCTTTCCAATTAGAATCATTGTTGTCTGAAAAGTTCAGTTCAAATTCCATAGCTTTCATTAAAATATGCTATCCATCTTTGCCTTCCCAGAAAAATGAAACTAAAATGACTAAGTGAATCTAGCACAGAATGCACTGTTAATATACTTCCAGAGATGCTAGACAGCAACAATATCATTTGGTTGTGCCCTCCAACAGACAGATATTAAAGCTATTTTCCTGCATCTAATGCATGCAATCATAAGGAACCCTCATCAAGTCTAAAGAACATTCAAATAGAAATGAACTTCACAGCAACATTAAGGCAAAGAACTAGTCTCTCTAATTGTTTATATCCTAATACTGCAAACCACAAATGCTGAGATATAGGGGGCTTCCAGATGGTTTCTAGTGCCAGCAGTCAAATGATATCATATAGCTGTGCTGTCTTTCCTTCTTTCATGAATGTTGCATAGTAAGAAAGATCACAGTACATTTTATGTGGTTAAAAATTTGATTTAGTTGTTTTAAGGTTTTGGTTAAATGCCAACTTTCTTGGGATAGGAAGAACATGTTTCTTTCTTATGGGAACGTGTGTGTGTGTGTGTGTGTGTGTGTGTGTGTGTGTGTGTGTGTGTGTGTGTGAGAGAGAGAGAGAGAGAAGATAAAACTATGTGCCTTTCTTAATGGACAATGTCAGGATATACAGAAAATTCTAAATTTGAGTCAAGAAGTTTTCAGAAGAAAGGTTCATCTAGAAGTACTCAATCTTTATTCCAGAAATCTCAGTAAAAGAACATTTTCTTTCTTTCTTTCTTTCTTTCTTTCTTTCTTTCTTTCTTTCTTTCTTTCTTTCTTTCTTTCTTTCTTTCTTTCTTTCTTTCTATTTCCATACTGTACCATTAATGTTGCCACTCTCTGATCAGTTCACAATATACATTTTTTAGACTAAAGCACTATATAATAAATACAGAAGTACAATAAAATACAATAGACCCTGTCCGTACCTGAAAACTATCTTTAAATAAAAATACACACATCGAACCATTTGATCATCTCAGGACAATTTACACTAGTAGAAAGTTTTATATTTATCAGCGGTAGAGCATTACTCACTAGCTACAAAGTCAGGAGACCTGGGTTCCAATCCCTACTTGGTCATGAAACGCACCAGGTGACCTTGGCCCAGTAATACATTTGGCCTGAACTACTTCACAATGTTCTTGTTAGAGGAAGGTAGCCATGAGGAAAGGTGGGGTATAAATGTAATAAATAAATGTTACTGTTAAGTCATATGATGTGATGAAATGAACACAACCATGATGACAGTGAAAATATAAGTGGATGGAAATTTTAGATGAAGAATAGAAGTTGGTGACTTCCCCAGTTCTTGACTGTGAATTGACTAGGCTTGTGTGTTCCAAAAATAAAAGAACTGGGTTTGGAGCTCAAATCTGAAGTATGATAACCACAAGATTCTAAAACTTTGTTTTAATTTTCCTCTTTTTGTTGCAAACCTTATGAACAGACCTAGGAACAGGACTGGAGATCAATAGAAATTAATGAGTAATTCAAGCTCTCAGTCAAATTGGTAACATAAAAAGGCAAACAAGAGACAAATATACCTAATAGTCCTGTGCACATTCACTTGGTGGTGAGTCCCACAGAACTGAGTGGAATTTATTTCTTTATAAATATATATCAGTCTGTATGTCACCAATCAGGCTATGTTGCTTTTAAGAGAGCCCCAGATCAATTCCAATATAAGTTAGTTACAAATTTATACTGGGGGCAACTTTTCAATAGGCTCCCTAGGTAAAGACATTGATTAGGAACTTCCACCAAATGTCATGTCAAAGCAACTCAAACTACAGTTTTAGCTGTGTGTACAACTCAAAAACAATTACATCTGCTACACTTCATTCCAAATATATTTTCTGGAGTGGGGGAAAGGACACTTACTCTTTCTCAATAGCTGGAAGGAAATTTCAATAGAACATGTTTGGAAAAGATAGGTATAGAGCAAATACAAATTGTATCTTATACATAATGATGATGTCAAAGATAAATCAATGTAACATGTTTAATTATGATTTCAATCATTTTGGCAGCCTCTGTGGCATTTTTTAAACATTCCAGATGTATTTGCCATGCTGCATTCTTTTTGAATAGGATTTAAAATGGAATAATGGTATTTTCAATTTAGAGCCTCCTCTTTTTCAACTTACTACATCATCTGCATATATTAAGGCTAGCAAGTTTTTGAATTCTTAGTTATGTACTTACTGATTGAATATAATACCATAGAATTTTTGAATCCTCTCCTCAAAGACTAGTGAGGCAGTTCATGGAAAGGGCATACAGAGAGCTATCACTGACCTTCAGAGGTTGATTATAACTTGGAGAAAATTTGCTCCAAGGAACTGGATGCTATAATTTTGCAGTTTATTGAAAGTAATCATTATGCTTGATGTATAAAATATACATTAAGGCATGGTCCTCAGCCTCAAAAGGATTCACATTCTGAATGAGTAAATCAGTATATTCTAAGCTGAAAATTCAACTTTTTGTAACAGTATGGATGAATCTAAGAAGCAATGCAGATATTGGATTCATTTTCGATTTCTTTATTTGAATCATTGGACCATTATTGAAATACCTTAACTGAAAGACTATGTGGACACTGGACTTGATCATAACGGTTCTTTCTTTGGCACATGAAAGGGGCAAAGGAATGTACAAAGAATGCTGAATGGATAAAGGAGAGGTAAGGCATTCCAAATATACAATTGGGCAAGGAGAATGAAGGTGAAAAATACAGCATGCGTTGTATCATATGATAGTCTAACAATAATTGGGATGGTCCACAAGACCAAGAGAGATATCTGTGTAAAAATAAGGGAGGCAGTAGCTATGTAGATGAGTGAATTGTAAATGGTGGGCAAGGAGCACATGTGAAGTGTTCTGGTAATACCAGTATTTAGACTAGTGCTTATATCAGATTATAGAGATATTGGAATAATTTCTTAAATCACAGAAGCTGTGGTTTACTTCATTATACACAGGCATCAGTCAGTATGGAAAACTGGTTCATGTGTGTGTCCGGAACAAAATAAAGTTTTATTTTACCTGATTTACATCATGGTAACTTCAAATGTTTTTATTGATAGTTATCTGAAACTCTTAAATTAGGGGAAATAAAAACAGTGAAGAAAAAAACATATTACTGCACAGAAGTTCGAAGAATAGGATCAGATCAGTCCTTATATAATAATAGCAAAATTTAATCATTTTGAAGATGAGATAGAATGAGATATTTGTTTTAAGACCATACTACTAGGCCATCTTTCTCAGATATATTGATATAGATAGATCTTAAATTATTGGTGGAAGAAAGATATGCAGATAACACCATTTTACTGGCAGAAAGCACCAAAGACTTGAAATAACTATTAGGGAGAGTGAATGAAGAAAGTGCCAAAGCAGGATTGCAGCTGAATGTTAAGAAGACAAAAATCATGACTACAGAAGAAATACAAAACTTTAATACTGACAATGAAGAAATTGAAATAGTTAAGAGATTTTGTATGCCTTGGTTTAATCATCAAATGGAGACTCCAGCCACGAAATCAGAAGACTAGGACTAAGAAATGGCAGCAATGAAGGAACTAGATCATCAAGTGCAAGGATGTGTCATTGGAGACCAAGACCAAGATCATTCACACTCTTGTGTTTCTGATCACCATGTATGGCTGTGAAAGCTGGAAAGTAAAGAAAGCTGACAGGGAAAAATTGATTAGTCTGAAATATGGCTCTGGAGGAGAGCTTTGTGGATACCTTGGATTACTAGAAAGAGAATCAAGCCTGAACTATCTCTGGAGGCAAAAATGTTGGAACTATGGGCACATCATGAGAAAGCAGGATTCTCTTGAAAAGACAACAATGCTGAGAAAGATGGAAGGCAGCAGGAAAAGAGGAAGACCAAATATGAGATGGATCGACTCCCTAAAAAAGACAATGGGCTTACCTGAAAACCCTAATAGGATTGTGATAAGTAAGTTCTGACCTGATGGCTTATAGCAACAGCATATAGATATAGATATAGATATAATAGATATGAATGGAGGCTAAATTGCTGCTAGTTAATAATTCAGTGCTTTTATTTTTCTTTGTGCACCATCATGTCACTAGAGAGTCACAAGAAATACAAGCTTTGACAGGCTGTTAGACTTACGTTGGCCAACATTAAGAAATAGGTTTCTGGCCAGTATATCTTGATATTTGTGGACATTATGGTTTAAGAATGTAGGCAGGAGACTTTAGTAAAGCTGATAAAGTAACCAAGCAACCACCTGTAAAGAAACATACATATAACATGCAGCCTACTCCTACATACACTTTACTCAGAAGTAAATGCTATTGTCTTCAAAAGTTCTTACTCAGGTTTACGGTTAAGTATTACCCAATCATAAGGGCCGTGGTGATGCTGTGGGCTAAACTGCAGAAGCCTGTGCTGCAGGGTCAGAAGACCACCAGTCGTAAGATCGAATCCACGTGACGGAGTGAGGGCCCGTCGCTTGTCCCAGCTCCCGCCAACCTAGCGGTTCGAAAGCATGCAAATGCGAGTAGATAAATAGGGCCCATCTCGATGGGAAGGTAACAGCATTCCGTGTCTAAGTCGCACTGTCCATGTGACCACGGAAAATTGTCTTCGGACAAAACGCTGGCTCTATGGCTTGGAAACGGGGATGAGCACCTCCCCCTAGAGTCGGACACGACTGGACAAAAATTGTCAAGGGGAACCTTTACCTTTACCTTATTACCCAATCATATTGATACACAATAAATTGAGAAAGTAATTGTGTACATACATGGATGGATGAACAAACGGACAGACAGACAGATAGATAGTATTAGATATCAACATGCTTACCCCTTTTTTCCTCCCTTAATACTCTACATTTTTCAGCATAGAGAAGTTTTTAAAATGATCCTTTGGTATTTCAATAACTTTCTCATTCATTTTGATAGAGGATTAGGGGCTGCAAAGAAAATGTTAGCTTCACGTTCCTGTATATCTGTTATCCATCCAATTGCTGATACATTGCATATGCAAATAGCAGATTGCAGTTGCTGCTGTGCTTTTCATCTGAAGTGGAGAAAGAAAAAATAATGTGTTATTCATACTGCTTTCCTTTCCGTGCTATGTGGAAAGAGAAGACTCAAGCATATGTTTGCCTTCTCTTTCTACCTTACAACCATTCACAAGCTGATGGTGTGCTGTCTTTTCCCTCCTGGATCTCTTCTACATTTAGTCTCAATGTAGGTACAACGTTCACTCAGGATATTTTTTAATTATTCTCCACTGCATGCCATGTTTGTTGTGACAAATACCACCACTGATTGCAGAGTTTGTGACTCTTTCAGCCCTCTCCTCTTTCTCCTCCTGGCCACTGCTATGACATCTGGTTGAGCCATCAATGTTTTTTTTTTCCCCTCACAAAGGATTCTGCTGTGGCTGTACTATAGATGGGGTGCTGATTTCAGAATATCACTCTGTTGTGCTTTTTCTTTTTAAAAAATTACTCAGGAAGAGCACATCATTTGAGATATGCTGAAACAGTGTTGTTCTATAACCTGATTAAAGTGTCACGTCATTTTTCCTTTTAACCTCTCTGCACTACTATTTTACCAATAAAAATCTTTGATTGTGTTGCAGGTGTAGATCAGTAGGTGGTGAAGGGATCCTACGCCTAAATCTAATTGTTAATCCCAACTGGAACAAACCCATTGAAATGTATATAAATGTTGTCTAACTTAGTTATATAAATATTGTCTAACTTATTTTCCTGTTAATTCAATAGGACTCTTCTAGATCACTGGTGCTTAACCTTGGGTTACTCAGGAGTTTTGGACTGCAACTCCCAGAAGCCTTCACCACCAGCTGTCCTGACTGGGGTTTCTGGGAGTTGCAGTTCAAAAGCATCCGAGTAACAAAGGTTAAGAACCACTGTTCTAGATGGTACTAACAATTGAGTTTGAGTCATATTTTTCAAGTTACTGACCTTCTGAAAGATGTTAGGAATTTTCTGCATGAAACCAAACCTATCTTTTCTTGAAAGCATTTTGGGCTGACTTAGAATGCCTTAAGACATCTATTTTTCTGTGACCGTGACTTCATTGCTAGGGTATGTTAGAATGGGGCTGTTTCAGTCTATTATTATAATTTTGAATTATGCACTATGGGCTTCCTTGTATATTTTCAGGACAGGGAGGATATGATTATCTTAAAACATAAGTAGAAAGTATGTTGACCCAAAGGCACCAGTAGCCTGTAGTTTTGCTCAAGACCTTTGAGTGACACTGTAGGAAGAACTAGCTATACATGCAATGAAAACATTGTGGCAATGGTTGAGAGAGTAGAATCCATTGTACCATTTTTATTTCAAGAAATACTCATGCTTCTTCACCTGCTGTTCATCATCATCCAGTTTTTTAAAAAAATAAAAAGTCCAATTTCTAATTTAGCAGCAGTTTGACAAAAGCAAATACAAAGTATCACAAATCCACTGTCAGATGTCCCAAAGTACAATGATTTACATTAACAATCTAGCATTATTTACGCTTTTCTTTCAATGCATGGTGGTATTAGGCAGCATTAATTCATACATCAGGCTCTGCAGAATGTTGCATCAGAATAGGAGACACAAATACTGTTACCAAACATAAACTAACTTTTTGCCGGTAAGTCGGATCCATCTAGCTCCTTTAACTTTCTCTCAGATCAACTCAGTCAACCCGAAGAGGCTCAATTCTGCCTCCATTTTTATATCTAGAGACAAAGGACTAAGTCCAGCCATTTGCTCCATCTAGAATAGACACATTTAATCAATGGGGCTTGCATGACTTGACAACTCCCAATCATTAAATGACCAAAAATCCTATTATAGTCATTTTAAACCTTGGTTGCAAACTGCCACAAGAGAAGACGGCATTTGCTATCTTTGCTGTTGCACTCTGCTTGTAGGACTCAATGTGCAATAGCAAATGCCTACACAAATTTTTAATATATCTTTTAAATTCATTTATGTATTTCAAATATTTTTACCCTGCCTTTCTCCTTAAAAAGGGCGCAACTTAATTAAAAGACAGTATGTGAAGCTAAAAACAGTAAATATACAAATACTAAAAACGATCAAACAAATATCACAGTAAAAATGGTAAACAAAACCAACACCAAAACACATTCAAGGCAGTGAAATAAAAGGTATGGAAAGGTATGTGTGAATATTATAGGACAGTTTAATCCAGGAACAAGCAAAACTGCCACAAATTATTGTAGGAGGATATATGACATTTAACAATCAAGAAATGGTGAATGGTTGAACCCCCTCTGATAACGCAGGTGCACAACTTGAGAGGGGTTGATCTTAGATTTGTCTCTCAATCTGGTTTTGGCAGTGGCCAAGAGTACCTCAGTGGATGCCATCCTGTCCCTCCAGCGCTGCCTGGAGACTGTACTGGATGCAGTCGAATGGATTGAGGCTGAACCCGGACAAGATGGAGATCTTGAGGGTGGGTGGCCCTTCCATCAGCGGCATAGATGACTCCCTCTCCTTTGGGGGGAGAGGGAGTCATCTTGCTGCAAAGAGTGAGATCCACAGCTTGGGGATACATCTGGACCCAGCACTTACCATGGAAACCCAGGTGGCATCCATGGTCCGCTCCGCCTATTTTCATCTACGGCGGATTGCCCAGCTGCGACCACATCTTGATGTGGGACCCCTCACTACTATAGTCCATGCACTCATAAGAGATTAGACCATTATCTATGTAAGCCGCCCCGAGTAGACATTGTCTAGAGGGGCGGGGTAAAAATCTAAAATAAATAAATAAATGGCCAAGCAGATCATGTTTAATTTTTCATAAGGAACCCGAAAGGAATCCAGGAAACTATTGACTCATTAGTTGAATATCTTCCCAAGTAAACTGGTGGACAATGTTATTTTAAAAAACCCTGCAAATATATAGCAGAAGAAAAAGAATCAACCTGGCTTTTTCAAAAGTAAATCCTGTTCTGCTTTTTTTAAATGACAGTGCCAATAAGTTTTTGGGTTATTTTCGTTTTAAAATAGCAGTTCAAACAGAGGAAGTCTGCATTTGTAACTTAATCTGGAATTAGTGAGATGGCCAAGTTTGTTGATAACAGCAAATTCCTCAAGATGGAAACAAATCAAAAGTAGAGGGCAGAGCTCTAGAAAGATCTCTCCAAACTAAGAAAATAGGCACTGAAATTATATATATGTTTCTATGAAAATAATTGTACAGTGATGCACACTGATATTTTTAATGGGTAATGGCTGACCAAGCAAGGAACCCTTAGCTTGTAAAATGAAAACAAATGATAAGACATTCAGACCATACCAATAAAAGTATATATATAAGAGTAGGGTTTTCACAATAAAAACTAGTGTGTCAGTTGTGCCCGTTCTTGGAGAGATCTGGTCTGTTCATGATCACATAACACCTCCCTCCCCATTACAGCAACTCCACAGGCTGCCAATCTGTTTCCAGGTACAATTCAAAATACAAAGTGCTGGTTCTAACCTATAAAGCCTTCAATGGCTTGGGTCCAGTATTACAGAAGTGAATACACCCCCTCACATTTCATAAATATTTTAGTATTATCTTTTCATGTGACAACATTCCAGCAATGTCTTTCTGAAAAAGAGCACCATGAAAAATACTGCAGGGAGTCTTGAACAGATATGGACAAATATTAAGATTACTCATTTGTTTACTTAACAGTTGTTTGACACAATGCCATTGAAATGCCTGCTAGCTTGGGATACATTTTGATAAGTGTTGTAGTTGACTTTGGAAAGCTTAATTAATTTAAAATCAGGACCCGAGTTTATATCTAAGATTCCAAATGCACATCAATATTGATTTCATAAGGTTTTTTGCACTATTATTTCAGTATATTGATGATGATAATTTACTGTCAAGTTTTTGTTTTTTGTTTCCTAAACAGCGTCTTTCAAATGGCTCCATTGATTCAAATGATGAGAATAGTCAGTTGGTGGAACTACAGGAACTCCTTGAAAAGCAGAATTATGAAATGACACAGATGAAGGAGCGTTTGGCTTCGTTGTCTTCCAGAGTTGGGGAGGTAGAGCAAGATGCAGAGACAGCCAGGAAGGACCTCCTTAAAACTGAAGAACTGAATAGCAAATATCAGAGAGACATTAGAGAGGTAAAGAATATACATTTCTTTGTTCATCCATTTTATTATTAATCTGTCCATTCATTACAAAGCTGCCTGAGACATTAGACCAAGTTCTAGAACACTGCCTTTTCTATTCATAAAGATATGTAGTCTTTGTATCAGTGCTAGAGTAAACTAGGAAATTATTGGAAAAATACATTTTCCTATATTTTATTCTGAATTAAGACTTTTAGTCTATACACAAAATAAGTGAATATGCTCCACAGTCCTGCCCCCCACCCTCAATCTTCTGGGTATTTGAAGACACCAATTTAGTGGCTTTGTTTATGGCTCACCAGATGAATTAAAAAGTTTCATTTATGATATATATATATTTAAAAAAAGAAAAAGAGCAGAAGCAACCAATTTGTGGGGCTGTGGGAAAATCCATGATCCATGTAGGATTCATTATATTGATGAATACATTTCACTGCAATGTTGAGTTAGCCACCACCAAGAATAGCCTAAAGTGACATCCACACACAATGAGTGTTTTACTGTGTGGTGGTTTTTGCGATATGAAGTGGCAAAAGAGTGAGTCTCTACACTATCGCTCCACAGAGCCTGTCAGAAATTCCTTACATATTTGAATTGCAGGTCACATCAGCAGATTTTGACCAGGTGTAATATGATGATCTTCCCACAGTGCTTTCCACAACTCAAAAAGTTTCCCATCAGAATTGATGGGGAGCTGCAGCAGGAGATGAGATCATCCCCTTCTTGTTCTGTTCTGTGTCATTCTATCAGTGGAAGTACACAAATGGAATATTCTCTGTGTCTTAAATCCACATATTATTTTACAGTCAGACTGACTAAAATGCAGTGATGTACTTTTTTGACATTTAAAGTAGTATTTCATGGTATCTCGAGACTTGTGTTTGCCATTTTGAGTATTACCATGTTATGGGCAATAAAAATGAGCAAATAACTTGAAGAAAAAAGCTATCAGAATTTGTATTTCAAATATTTATATGTTAACTATTTGTGGGCATCATTAGAGCAGATGATACTAAGTATTAATTTGGATGGTTGAACTTGTGTGAAAAGAATACACAATTTTAACAATGTCCAAAGAGACAACCACCTCCACACCCAACACATACATCATGACCTTGGTTATGAATGTTACAAACCTGAGGTCAAATAGTAAATGACATGTGCTTCCCGATCCCCATGCAAGCAGAAACAACTTCCTATGTTGAAAACCTGTATAGAAGTAAAATGCTCCCACCTTCCTACTTGATCAAAACTGAGAAATCCAGGAAAGCAGTTAGACGTAAATATCTCTTTTCACAAAATAATGTTTTGTAATGGACGTTATTTGACAATGTATACTGTGAGACACTGTAAAAGGGATGCAATGGCAGGCATGCAGGTAGTATTCAAAGCACAATCACTATCCTGGGATCCTAATGGCAATTGCTCCCCAAAAGCCCAGTTAACAACTCTGCCACCCACCTCCAGCAGCAATAGACACTCCATCTTTCTTCCACCATGGCACAAAAAGAAAAAATTATTGCTGAAAAAATTCTCCTTGTGAATATACCTTTATAACATAAATTTCAATATGTTTAAATTAAAAGAAAAATTAAACATATCTCGTTAATAACGTGAACTTTGTCAACAGCCACTGATTGTGATGTTTCAATGTACTGCTTGTTCTTTTAAGGCTATGGCACAGAAAGAAGACATGGAAGAAAGGATTACGACTCTTGAGAAACGTTATCTAAGTGCACAAAGGGAGTCCACTTCCATACATGACATGAATGACAAGCTGGAAAATGAGCTGGCAAATAAGGAGGCCCTCCTTCGTCAGGTTCAGTATCTGGATGGCTACTAGAGCATTAAAGTAAGGGGAGATGGCTTAAAGAGTGGGGAGATGTCAACCTTCTCAGGCATGACTTTCTCAAAAGAGGTGGGAAATGCAATAATTCAGCACAACTGTGCTAGAGAGGATTTTCACTCTGCTATTGTGATTTTGGAAATTGACCCTTATGATCTTGCTTGGCCTCCCCAGAGTTTGATGGATTTGGGTCAAAAGGGAATTAGGATTTTTTTCTTTGAAGCAGGAAAAGAGACCACATTGGATCGATTTTAGGCTCGGTTTAATTTTATCCAGAAGTAAGCTGCAGAAAAATTTCATAACAAAGCTCAATGCTTTTTTTCTTAATGCACTGACTTACCTGGCTCCTGTCAAATCAGAATAGCAAGATTCTGGGAGTGAATCAAGAATAGCTAAAGGCAAAAAGAACAAAAGAACAACAAAAAAGTGACACCAAAGCAAGGCACTCATGCAATGGAAAATTATGAGGAATCTCTGTATCCTAAAACTTCAGTGTCAGGGGGTCTGAAAGAGGTAGGGCATATGGATATCGCCTGAAAAGATGTAGGATATACAATGAATGAAAATATAAAAATAGATTACCAAGCAAAACAGTACAGACATATCTGAGAATGATCACAATGAGGCTTACTGTTGAGTACTCTTAGCAGTAATGTATTAAAAGTGTTTTGGTTCAGACACAGGAATACAATGCCTTTGAGCAAGGTGTGTTTCTGTCTTGATTTTTTATCACAAGAGACAACAGATTATTGATTCTACCTATTAGTACATTTTATTAACTTTCCAATCTGTCATTGGCATTAATTTACATTGATACTTCTTCAGGATGTTTCTATATAAATCATTAAATGTCTCATCAATTCATTTAGGAAAGTGGAAATATTTGCTCTTGGGCAGCCAGCCAAAATGAATCTCTGAACATCAGTATGCCCACTCGGTACATCTTCTCAGCTGAGATAAAGGATTTCAACCCACAGAAGATAGAAATAAGAATTTTTGAAGCCATGATCATGCCCAACAAGATGATTGTAGTGTAGGTGGAAAACATGGTATATTTCAAATTGAGACTGCACTGTTCTTTTGAGACTACCATGGGAATAGCTTATATGTCCTTGTTCTTAGAACAGAGAGTTGAAAGAAGTCATTTAGTATTTCTTCATCTTTTCCATTAGAACAACAGCTTGTAACAGTGGAAAGTAACATTCTTTGTGACAGGAGATGCCAATACTTTATCATATTTCCCCAATCCATCTCTGCATTGTTGTTTTTCTTCTTTATTGGTATGAACAAGCTTTCTTTTGGTTTAGTTAGAAAGTCACATTGATTGTAGGAATATAACTCTAACTTCACTTTCTGTTTTACAGCTTCAAATACGTTAGCTTTGTCTTAGTGTGATTCTGAGCATTGTCTTGGAGCTTGTGCACAAATTAGTCTTTTTTTCAGCTCCTGTGTGATCGTGGTTGCCCTCTTGTAGTGGAGATAGGCTGGAATTTCCATATTTCAATCTAACGCCCTTGGCTTTAGATCTAGACATGGAGCCATTTGGTAAATTCAGCAGTTACAACCAAGGATAATATTTAATATATGTGCAAGCCCACAGTTTAATAAAACCGTGCTGTATAAATTGAGTTGTTTCATATCCTTTCCATACTCTGTATGCTCTGATTTACACTTTCTTTTCATTCCTCCACTCCTGACCCATTTCCCAAGAACTAGTATAAATTTGGCCTTCTAATATTTTTTAAAAAAACATATTATCTCTGGGTTTCAGATGGAAGAAAAAAACAGGCAGCTACAGGAACGCCTTGAACTAGCTGAACAAAAGCTGCAACAGACAATGCGAAAAGCTGAGACATTGCCTGAAGTGGAAGCTGAGCTGGCTCAGAGAATTGCAGCACTAACAAAGGTAATGTATACTGAAGTATAGGTTTATTTCAGCAAAATGTTTTTCTTTAACATTGATCTTCATCCCTTTTTCCTCCCTTCAGCACGATCAGCAACAATAAAAGCCTGTTTTGGAGTGGTGGACAAGATGCTTCTACTTAATGGCACCGTAAATAAATATTAATTACACATACAAAGTTGTTTGCTTTAGCTTAGTTTAATGGCAAAGGATTTGCTTTGTATTTCTTGTCTGGCTTAAGTACATTTCTCCCAATTTCTCAAAATAGTTTATTTTATAATACATTGTATTATAAAAAATTGATGATGAATCCAATTCAGCTAAAAGTCATGACATTTATTTGCCATTGAATTTTTCCATGATTTTCTACATCACATTAATTCAGAGAAACACACTGATCGCTTCCATATAAATAAAACCAAGGCTGTACCTGTTTTCTTATCTTGAACCTTCTCAAATGACTTGGTGTTTCATAAAAGCATAACCTTGGAGAGGAGAATTACCTGGTAGATTGTTCCCAGGACTTGCATAAAGTTATATGCAAATACATAGCTGGATCTTACAGATCTTTCACATGCTGAGATATGGAAATTGCCAGTGTGGATGACATACAGGAAACCCAACCCAACCCAACCCTGCAGCAAAAAGGAGATATAGTTCATTCATACATTCTCCGCTGTTTCCTCCTTAAGATGTTGTAAACCACTTTGTTTCATATGGAATTCTAGACTATATTCCTAGGTATACTTCTTTGTGAGCCAGTATCTCTTGTTGAACTCTGCAAAACTAGGCTGGAATCTTACTTTTGTTTATAAAGGCTTGCATAACCTGTTGCAATTAAATTGTAGCTATTTGACAAGGTTCTGAGGCACATCTCATTTGCACTATTGGTCATGTGACTGGGTGTGGAACTGAGTTGTGTCCTGTTACCTTGCCAATTAGCCACAATTTGCCGTGGCAATTTATGCAAACTTTATGCAAGCAATAATAGAATTCTGGCCTTAATATATGAATAAGTATGATTGGGCAATTCAGCTCTTGCACAGTAAGTAACATAGTAAGTCAAATAAAAATGCAGACATTTTAAGACAAAGTATTGGTATTAGTTACTCAGAGGAATAATTTCCAGTTCTACCATAAAAAGCTTGTAACAGCACAAAATGACATTTTGCACTTCTCAGTTTTCTTCCTTCCTTTTTAATGGCAATGGACAATGCCAGTGTCTATCTATTCTAGCAGTTTTCAGTTGTACATGTAATAATTTAAGGATGAACATTCTCTACCTTCATTAAGATTCTGTTTAATATGTAGAAAAGGTCATCCTACAACAATAAAATTTTGTGGTAATGGAAGTTAGAAAGTATGCAGGCATTTCTTTATTCTTTTTATAGAGGGTGCAGGTTAATTTGTAGAAAAACAATACAAAATCTGTGTGTACAGGTGCTCCGTAATGGAGCATATATAACTTAATGGTGGATTGAGATGGTTCTGTGTCATGCATTCTAATAAAATATAGGAAGAACTAAAAATTGTGTATATAAAATATATGTGGTCATATAAGTTCTTTAAGCTGGGATGAGAGCAAAGCTTGTACAGTACAGCTAGTTTGACCAAAGTGGCATTGGCATGCTTAAAGGTTTCTCCTCCTTCCAAGCTATAGAATGTACTCTATCAGGAGGCCTAAAAATGCCTAGAAAATGCTGAAAACGGTCACCATAAATCAGAATCAACTTGACAGCATGTAATTATTTATTATTAGTAAAAAATCAATTAGCAATCAAGGTTGTCTCTGAAGCACCACCATCACCATATTCTGTATACTAGTAACTGGACTTTCCCTTCAAGCAGAGATATTCTCTCCAGGATTATCCTTTAACCCCACATGACACTTAAATGCTAAATCACCTTTCCTCAACTGAATGTCCTCCAAATTTTTGGACTGCAATGCCAGTTAGCCTCAGCTAATATGATATTGTTGAGGAACAATTGAAGTTGAAGGCTGTTTTACATCACACTCTGAGCAAGATGGTGTCCTGTCATGAAATGTCTGCTCTGACTCTCAAGAGATACTTGGGGATCTTTTGTAGTCTAGCAAGAGGACCGCAAATTAATAGTCCAAGTAAAGATACATTTCAAGCAATCTGCTCACAGTGAACCCTACCATTAGGCAGACTGAGGCAGCCACCTGAGGTTGGGAGACAGAAAGTGATGGTGAATAGTTGGAAGACAGAAACATCACACAGCCTTTCTCTGCCCTCCCATCCCAGCTATTCTGCTGTCATTTAACATGTTGCAGGAGATGTGTGTTGCTGCCTAGTAACAGCTGAAGCTGGATTAATAGCATTATCAGCGTCATACATGGAATAGGGATCTGGTGCTATCTTGTTATTTGCCTCAGGCAGCAACATGTTTGTTTAGTGGTAATGAAATTACTTAGCAAATTGGCTCAGCAAGTATTCAGCCTGCCAGAGTAGATGTTCCATCTCAGAGTATCCAGCAAGTGAACATTCACCTTCAACCAGTGAAAATTTTGTTGTTGTTACTAACATTGTAGTTTGACTCATCATCCAGAACAACATATAATAAAATAGTTAAGCGTAACCACACGGATATCAAATGTGGTGTGACAGATAGACTGATGGACTAAGTTGGAATCCCCACACAATCATGGAAACTCAATTGGGGATGGAGTGGAACTGTTTAAACCTCTCCATAAACATCTCACTTACCTTTAAAGCTCTGTTAGGGTCACAATTATAAATTGGTTCTGACTTGACAGCACATAACATAAAAAGCTTAAACATAGTTTATGGTTCATACATAACACTAGATTTTGATTAATTGGAAAAAAATGAAAGGTTTCTATCTTCTTGAAAGTGAAAGAGGAGAAAAGGAGAACATGATTTAAGCAAATCTGTGCAAAGGTTACTTGAAGTAAATCTAGATCATAGTTCAGGATTATGTTTGAATGGGGCAATTTTAAGTTTGTTGAACACTCATGTTTTATCTAAATAGATCTAGGAGGTGTTCACATACTTTAATCTTTCTGTTTAAGCAAAATACATAAAAAAATCTATCACTGCAAAACACCTAAGCAGAGTGCATAGGTTAATGTTGCTGCTGTTGGCAGATGTTGGTCAGGGGACCTTTGTTCACTTCTAAAGAGAGTGAATTCCTTTCTGGTAGTGGTGGAGGTAAAGGTAAAGGTTCCCCTTGACATTTAGTCCAGTCGTGTCCGACTCTAGGGCACGGTGCTCATCCCTGTCTCCAAGACGTAGAGCCAGCGTTTGTCTGTAGATAGTTTCCATGGTCACGTGGCCAGCACGACTAGACACACAACACTGTTAGCTTTCCACCGTGGTGGTACCTATTTATCTACTCACATTTACATGCTTTTGAACTCCTAGGTTGGCAGGTAGCGGTGAAACAATTAACCTATTGGAGAATACACATAGGGCAGCTAACTGGTCATCTGAAAAAATCTTTGCCACATCACATGAAGTAGGCACCTGTGTCTTAGCTGGCACAGAGGAAAGTTGTGTGTATCTTGTCTAAGTTGATGACAAGACCCACCATTTGAACAGGAATGTTGTACTGTTTGTGTTTTATATATCACAAATTATTAAGTTTACAGCATTTGGGGTCTGATCTCAATCATAAATTTAATAATTTAGCAATGTTAATGACAATAAGACTCTTTTCACTGAAAGATAATTTTAATAGGTATCTATTAGATCTGTCAAGAAACCAGAATGGGGTGCAATATTCTGTCCCTTGCACACTTACAGAAATTGTCATTAAAATATGTTTGCTAAGGTTTTAACATCACCAGTATTGCAATGGGCATGCCATACAGTCTGGTTTTGTTTAGATTTCTTTTCTATTGTAGTGGACAGATAAATAAGCATTTGTGACTTTGTATATCCCAGATGCTATAAATGCTTTCCACTGGGCCTTGATAAGAAGCAAGAGATGTTGTCTTTAGAGTTCCCATTTTCTGGAGTGAGATGGTGAGACAGTTGACCTGACCAATTTTTTGGATCATACAATTCAATTCTGAGAACTGACAAGTTTCTGTTTTAGATAAGTCTTTTTATCATGTCTTCCAGCCACTTTCTCTTGAGTGATTTGTTTTACAATGTGCTGTGTTTGATAAGTTTTCAGCAGGACTGAAAGCTCTTTGCTTGAAGCTCTGTAGCCCCTCCTTAGATTCCTAGCAGTTTGATCCCACCTGAGACCGAGAAGGCACTGTCTTACATAAAGTCTAGAAATAACTAGTTATAAATTCATATGTAGTCAATTCCTTTTTGCATTCCCTAGAGCACAGCTAATTTACTGTAGGTTTATAAGATAAATGCCAGAATCTAACTGAATATTGTACAAATACAAGTGGTGTGGCATAATTCAGAGCTGCAGATAGCTGCTCATTAATGAATCCCCAATACTGAGTCATTTGCCAAATGCTCCAGTTGGTACATGACAAAAATTCAACTGGCAGCTTGATAATTAGTGTCTATTCTCCGCTCCAAGTTGTATAATTGCACTTAACACTGGCATAATTATTCAGTAGGATTCTAGACTATGAGTGATAACTTTTACTACAGTAGAACTGTAACTGGGTTGTCAATTATTTTAATAGTTACAGGATATGTGTGATTTCACTAATAAAAATAATTTGTGCCATAGGCGTGTACCACATAGCATTCTGTTTTTTAAGTAACCAGAAAGCAACTCTTTCATATTTTTTTAACAGTGGGACAGGAAACAGTCACTTTGCATAACTGTAACTATAGTGGCAAGCAGCTACATTTAGGACCTTGTAATTATAATAGCAAGCATTTACTTTTTAAAGTAACCTTCCAAGCTGTAATCTTACACATGTGACAAATGTTTCCCCTGTGTTTGGGAAAACAGAGTTTATAAATTAGAAAACAAATCCCGCCTTCTTACCCTATGTAAGGTAAGGAGATATTTTTAATATCAGAAAAAATCATGTGTTTTTGTAGTCTTGAGGAATGTTGAATTGTTGGTCGGGTATTTATCCTTTATTCCAAAAAACCTTGTTTACAGGTGTATTCTTAATATTGTCTTTTCTTAATTTTGATTCTGGTCCTCTGGCTTGTTATATGTTCAATAGACCTTCTGGTTTTCTACCTGAAACTGGAAGAACAGAGGGAATGTCAGACCATCCTAATATTACCTCCTACAGTCTTATGTCCTCCAGTTGTACTGATATGCAGCTCTCATCATCCCAGGACAGTATATTCATTGCAGGGCACCAGGTTAAGGAAGGCTACATTTAAAAGTTTCCCAGCAATTTAATTTTGTTTTGTTTTTTAATGGATGAAAGGGGGTCAATAAAAAGCTGAAATTATTTTGTTCAACCAAATTATTCTGTTCGACAAGCGCTAATTCACATCTGCATTTTAGAATTTCATAGTGTATGGTAATGAAGTCTGTGGCAATCATTAAGTCTAATATGCTGTATTTGTTGGTTGATCATTTGCCTGGATTGTGGCACATCATGCTGCAATAAGAAAAAGAGTGGTATAGCCAGCTGTAGCCTGAGAACCTAGAGTAATTGGACACATCTGTTACTCTCTAACCTTCTCATAGGAAGTTGCAAGAGTTCTGCTAATGTGCCTTAGGTCTTGTTTTTGTACCTTTAAGGGATACATTCCTCTATTAATGACTAACCCATCAGATATACTGTATTCTGCAACATTATACCCATTATTTTCATCGTTATGAGATTAAAGGATGGACTGTTAAGGGGATAAAAAGCATATTTGGGCACTAGCTTCTCAAAGTTGCATTCAGATATTGAATTTAACAAAATTCAGAAAAGAGTTTATAAATTCCTCTACAGAGGAAGAGTAATTTCTCATCAGCCAGCCATCACTAACCTGGAATTTCCATACTTAGGTTGTTAGCTTTTTTAGCATTTCATTGTTTTAGTTCATCTGCATCAACTGCCTCATGTCACTCTATTGTAAGTGTGGTTTATTCAACATAGAGTTCTGTCGATTAAAATATTAAATTTGCTATCATACTTTTCTTTTGAGCATTCTGTGCTGTGTTCTGTTCGGTGTTGGTGTCTTTAGTTCTGATTTTTCAATTTTGTCCCTCTCCTTTTCCTTGACTTGTTAGTCTGATCCAACCTCTTCTACCTCATCTGATGATTATCAATATGTTATGGAAGCTAAGCTACAAGAAATGATCTCCATACGTAGGAAGGTAGTCCTACTGGACTTTACTTTCTATTGCTAAATAGAATCCATCTGATTTTGTTTTTACAATTTTAAGAATTCTTTGGTTTTTATTTATTTATTATATATTTATTTTATTGATAATCAACCATTGTGCAGTTCAGTGCTTAAAGAGCTTACAATTTGATGATGGCAGGTTTGTGTTCAAACCATGCACAGTCTGCATGTTACATTTGGCTGATTTCATTGCTCATAAATAACTCCAATGTTTTGCTGGATGCTTGGATGTAACAGGCCTTTGTAGCTGACACATTTCAAGCAATGCTGTTCAGCTGCCTGTTTGAATAAAATTTATTTTTGGAAACTAAGTTTGCAGTTAGTAGTAGCTTGCTTTATGTTTTCTTTTTAAAAAATGAAATTTGGACTCACAAAGACCTCTAAGTTTTAGTCCAATGCATATGATTTTTTTATAGGCAGAAGAGAGACACGGAAACATTGAAGAACGCATGAGACACTTGGAGGCTCAACTAGAAGAAAAAAACCAGGAACTTCAAAGAGTATGTGCATACCTGTAGTTTCATTTATGGTTTGGTTAGGTGGGATCAAATTATTGACTCCATTTCATACAGAGAAGGAGAAAGAAATAGGCTGACACATAGAATTAGTTGAGATCATTTGGAGTTCCACTAGTATTAAACCATGGCATGAAAGGTGGACAGGGAGCCTATTGCCCATGTTTAGTCTATCACAGATCACAATATTAGCTCCTGTTGAAGCAACATTCTAAACCTTGACAGTAGTGTGAACTAGCGCAAGATCCCAAGTGCATTGATTTATAGACTCAAACTAGGCATTTAAGGGAATGTGTATTTCCCCTGATTAACTAGTTTTCCCTTCTTCACCTGGATTTCCTCAGAGTTGATTCAGTCCTGGCAATCAGACCTGAAGCCCGTATTTATCTTGTTGTGTTATACTTCCAGTGACCAAAACACATTAAATACAGGATTGTTGTTGTTGTTTAGTCGTGTCTGACTCTTTGTGACCCCATGGACCAGAGCACACCAGGCCCAAATACAGAATACTCTTATAAAAATGTGTGAAGCATTTTGGCTAGCATGATCCAAGATATTGACATGTGTGAAACTTCTAGCAAAATATACCCTAACAACTAAGTTAGCTGTTATTGGTTAACTGGTAATCAAGATTTATTATATTTTAAAGGGAAGAAAAAATGGGTTGAAATTTGTAAACATGAATCATATGGTGTTGAGTGTTCATGAAGCTGATTCGGTTCTTTCAGATAATATGGAATTTAATTCATTTTGTGCATGGATATAGAATCCCTTTCAGCATACTGAATTCCAACTCAACAGCTATGTTGGCAAAATCAGACCAGTGAGAAGAAAGGAGATGTTGGTATGAATCCAGCATTCCTTAAGGTACAAAAAGGCACAATAAGGAATGAGCAACTACAGTGGACAGAGAATACTGAATATCTGTAGGAAAAGGTGAAACAGAAGGCCTAGGTAGGAGTAGAAGCATCATGGCACAGTGGTCAGTCTGCAGTACTGTAGTCTCTGCTCATAACCTGCGTTTGATAACAGGTTCAAGTAGCTGGCTTGAGGTTGACACAGCCTTCCATTCTTCTGATGAAAGGATGGTGGGGGGCAATGTGTAGCCTGCATAATTACCTGGAGAGTGGTTTAGGCACTATGGGATAGTATGTAAGAAGCACACTTTGCTTTATGTGTGTGTGATATATAAACTGGAATGATGTGCAGCAGAATAATTCAAATGGGCAACAGCAAATTGCCTGTAGTTAAGAATCCGACCTTTTAATTTCTCTGACTGTAGTTAAGAATCTGACCTTTTAATTTCTTTTAATTTAACTTCTCTGACTTAATGATGGCAATTTAACCCTGAGAGTTACACCAGTAGGCTTAGATAGCAGTAAGTAACAGGATTATGGCTGTAGCAGAAGATTTTAGAAGAGGGCATGAGCAGATGGAAGCCTGAACAAGTGCACACCATGCTGAAATATTTTATTGCAAATCCTTTTCTAAACTTCTAATTTACAGTAGCAAATAATTTTTGTACCTAAAATTGACATATACCCAAAAGACCAGTTAGAAGATAATGGTAGCTGGTAGCATAGCAGCCAATGATGGGAAGAGCAGGGGTGACAGGCAAATCCATGGGCAAAAGTGGGTATTCATACATGCATACAGATACAGGCAATCACACATGGAAATATGCTGTCTCTCTCGCTTTCCCCTCCATGCATGAAGAGGGATGCAGTTTAAAAAAGTGTTCACATATTCACACTGAAAGAAAGGTGTTAGGCAAGAGTCTTTTGACTAGGATTTGCCTAATCCTGTTTTGGGAGAATGTGCCATTTGATGGGCCAGCCTCTACAGCTAGGACAGAAGAAACAGAGACTGCATACATTTTCCTACACTGCCATTTGAATGCAGTGGTGCCTCGACTTATGACCATAATCCATTCCAGAAGATGGACGTAACTCGAAATGGTTGTAAGTCAAGCACTATTTCACATTGAAATGCATTGAAATGCAATTAATCTGTTGCAGCTGAAGAAAAAATCACACACACCCCAAAAAAATCACTGCAAGACTCATTGGAAACACGATTAATCCCTTCTGGCTGAAGGGGTGGGGGGAGAAAAGCAATAAAGCATGCAAGACCCATTGGAAATGCACAGAAGATAAATGGAGCAGAACGGAAAAGCACAGAGAACAAAGAGACCAGGTCGGAAAGGCAAAGAGAACAAAGGAAAAAGCAAGGGAAGCATGCAAGACCATCAGAAATGGGGGGAAACCCAAAAAGCTACCAAACCCCCCGACGCATCAGAAATGGGGGAGGGAAAGCCAACAAACATACAAAAAAAAACCCCTAAGACCCATCGGAAATGGGGGAAGGAAAGCCAACAAACAAACAAACCCCCTGAGACCCATCGGAAATGGGGGAAAAACCCCAAAAGCAACCAAACCCCCATGACCCATTGGAAATGGGGGGAACAAAAAAACAAACAAACCCTCCAAGACCCATTGGAAATGGGGAAAAACACTCCAAAAAGCAACCAACCCCCCAAGACCCATCACAGCACAGAAACATAGCCCCCAGCCCAAAACCACACTGCAAAAACACCCAGAACAGTTTTTAAAAGGCAGAAAACAGCACCTTACCTTACCAGGTAACCTTCTCCGATCACATACTCTCTAACTGCTGGGGTGAAAGAGCTACAAAGAAGCAGCCTTGTCATCACCTACAGTTAGAAATTTGTATTTCCCATCTTTTTTCCTGCCTTTTTCTGTTTGTAAGTGGAAGCTCTGGTTGCAAGTAGAAACAAAATTTTGCAGCCGGAGCTGGTCGTAACTTGAAATGGTCGTTAAGTAGGGATTTTCATAAGTTGAGGCATCACTGTATAAAGGCCAGAATCTTCTTCAGAGTTTCCATAGATAGAAGGGGAATAGAATAAGCAGTTCCCTGGGCAGGTTTGTCCGTTGCATGATTGGCCATACTTCTTATTCTGCAGCTGCTACATGTCTGGTCATGTAAAGTACAGTTTGTTGGAGAACAGAAATTGCTTGTACAGTTGCCCTTCCCCTTCCATGTCTTCACCAGAGGAATCTCGCCAATGGCAGCAAATGTGAAAAATGCATCAGTATGTCAAATGTTGTATTTGTGCAATCCGTTGTCCCAGCAGTAGTGTCCACAATATTTAATCCTTCGGTAGCATTCATTTTGCCATGTCACAGTATTATCAGTATGATTTCAGTTGCAATAAACCAACACACATATTTGACTAATATTAACCATTTATATTGTTATCTTGGGGACTGCCCTTTTTGTTTCCTTGGTATCTTACTGAAGGCTAGGCAAAGAGAAAAAATGAACGAAGAGCACAACAAGAGATTGTCAGATACCGTGGACAGGCTTTTGACAGAATCGAATGAGCGCCTGCAGCTACACTTAAAAGAAAGAATGGCAGCATTGGAAGAAAAGGTAAGATAAAAATCAGCAAAATAAATGTTCATACAGCCTACTGCCACAATTAAATTGATTTGGATTCATGGCTTCTTATTCTGTTCTTGACCCTATGATGAAAAAAGGAAATGAGTGGGTAGTTGCAATTTTAGATTCCCCCTGAGACAATTCCTAATGGACTATTGGAGCCAGGGATGGCAGGGGTACTGACTCTGGAGGAAGAGAAAAGAGATAACTGCTCGAATAACCAAGATTGGTAACAGGTATTTCTTAGCTCCTTAGCCCTTGGGCAGAGACCCAACCATGCCAGTTTCCAATACCATAACAGCAGTGCCCATAGAATATAGATTGGGTCATTCCAGATTAACTTCTAAAATTCCAGTCATATGTTCAACAAGGTTATCATGTGTTTTGACTGAAATATTGTAAAATATGTAATCATTTTAACATATTCACTGATATGATTTAATAACAACTTGTTAGCAACCGGCCTATGTTTGAAACAGTAAATATTCATTACTGCTACTACACCAGGAAGAGTGAAAAACATGATTATTCTGTATACCTTGATTTCCTAGTACAGTAATTATTTTTTCATTACTTTATTTCAATCTTTAATTTTGTCTCTCTTTCATAGAATGTTTTGATACAAGAATCAGAAAGCAAGATATTCTGTGTATCTACCTTGATTTCCTAGTAATTTTTTTCAGTACTTTATTTCAGTCTTTAAATTTTTTTCTCTCTCTCTTAGAATGTTTTGATACAAGAATCAGAAAGCTTCAGAAAGAACTTGGAAGAATCTTTACATGATAAGGTACTATTTTTAAAACTTTTTTTTTAAAAAACTAGTCTTTAGAAGACTTTTTAATTCAGTTAATTAGAACAAACATTGTTTTATGCATTCAAAAGGTAAGAACTAAAAATCATGCAACCATATCACTGGAATCTGCTAGTCTTAGACCACAACATGATGTTGGCCTCACATAAAGGTACAGGATGAATGGGCCAATACTTGACTAATGCAGCTAATTTGCAGTGGAAATAAATACTTACTGGGTTGTGGGTAGTATAGGGATTCAGCCTGTTCCCTGATCCTGGGTACCCAGGTTTTCGTGGTGGCCAGGAATGCCTTTGCATAGTTAAAATCTGCTAGTCTTAGACCACAACATGATGTTGGCCTCACATAAAGGTACAGGATGAATGGGCCAATACTTGACTAATGCAGCTAATTTGCAGTGGAAATAAATACTTACTGGGTTGTGGGTAGTATAGGGATTCAGCCTGTTCCCTGATCCTGGGTACCCAGGTTTTCGTGGTGGCCAGGAATGCCTTTGCATAGTTAAAATAAAACTCTCACTGGGTTGTGGGTAGTATAGGGATTCAGTTCCCTGATCCTGGGTACCCAGGTTTTAGTGGTGGCCAGGATTGCCTTTGCATAGTTAAAACTAGTGTGCCAGCTGTGCCCATTTCTTGAGAGCTCTGGTTTGGTTATGGTGACACATGCCCTAGTTACATCTTGTATGGATTACTGTAATGCGCTCAACATGTGGCTGCCTCTGGAAAGTGTTTGCACTCAACATGTGGCTGCCTCTGGAAAGTGTTTGGAAATTTCAGAGGGTCCAAAATGCTGCAGCCAGATTATTAACTGGAACTGGTAACAGGGAATATATAACACCCCTGTTACAACAGCTCCACTGGCTGCCAGCTCATTTCCAGGCACAATTCAAAGTGCTGGTTTTAATCTGTAGAGCCCTATATGGCTTGGGTCCAAGCTATCTGAAAGACCATATCACTCTCTATGAGCTTGCCCAGGCATTAAGATAATCAGGAAAGGCCTTCCTCTTGCTCCCACCACCTTCACATGCATGTTTGGTGGAGACACAGGAGAGAGCCTTCTCTGTTGCTTCTCCAAGACTCTGGAACTCCCTCCCATGGAAAGCCAGGCTGGCTCCATATTTGTTGTCCTTCCACAAGCAGACAAATACCTTTTTCTTCGGGCAGGCTTTTCCTTATTGCATGGCAGTCTAAGAGGGTGTTTTAAATGGATGGTGTACTCTGTTATTTTTAAATGTGTTTTTAGTACTCATTTTATTTACAATTTTTAATATAGTGGTTTAATTCTTTTTAAATATTTAATACTTACTGTTTTTAGCTTTTGTATATTATCCTTTTAATAATGTGAGCCACCTTGGGTCCTTTCAAGGAGAAAGGCGGGGCACACATATATATGGTTACGGTTCACAGCTTATAATCAGCAATAGTCCAATCCTTGCTTTCTTCCTTATGGTCGTTATGTTCAAAGAACTGAGGGCACTACAGCACACATATATATGGTTACGGTTCACAGCCTATAATCAGCAATAGTTCAACCCTTGCTTTCTTCCTTATGGTAGTTATGTTCAAAGAACTGAGGGCACTACAGGCAATAGCATCAATATATCAAATGTCCATCAATTGAGATCAACAAGTCTAGTCAGACTGGAATCAATTGCAGGCTGTAGTCCCATGCATGTGTCTCTGGAAGTAAGTCCCACTGAGCTGAATTCATTTTCAGGTATAACATGCGATGGGCTGAGAACTGTTCATCCTCCTGAGAGGATTATGAGACCCAATGCAAGCACAATTTGCCCTTACAAAATACACTAAAGTAAGGTCATTGAATCAATGAAGATTTGGTCGGTGGACTTCTCTGTAATCTCAATTGATTCAAATGAGTGTACTCAATGGCAACATACTATGCTAAAATAAGTCTAATTAGAATAGGCCTATTTGAATCAATGGAACCTATATAGCAGTTGACTCACCAAATCCTCACTGATTCAGTTAGCCTATTCTCATGTAATTTATTATGCTAAGCAACAGAGTTTGGGCCATGATTTTACTCTGAATTAGCACATCTTTATGCAGATACTGTCTTATATTTTTGGCAATACTGGGTGTGCTGTTTAGGTTTATATTTTGGATACTCTTTAAAATTGCACTTTCTGGGTGATCTACAACTGTTTATTCCCAGAATATGAGCTTTCAAAATGGACTTTCAGATTTAGATCCACTAAATCTTGATGGTCATGCTAAAAATGGCTTAGAATTGCGCTTTGTAGCACCATGCAATTTAACCCATTTAAGTTTGTTTTGGTGAACCAGTCAAACTCATTATAAATATCTCTAACAAATGTCATTTGTTCTGTTCTTTAACAGTTCTGTTGCCTTAAAGTCATAGAAAGCACAAGCACAAATGACTAATTTATTCTTTAATATAAACTCTTTTATTGTTGGGCATTGAATGAATTTGACACAAGAGAGTGCAATGTGAAAGAAATGCGGCTAAATCCCTGGACCAGGGGCAAAATAACCATTACTATTTGACATCACAGCACAATAAGAAAGGGGTAAAATTTAGACAAATAAACATTTTAATTTGGCTGCTATTTTGTTACTAAAAAGAGAAAATATTTAGCCAGAATGAATGAGGTTAGACATCTGGTCATGACTCATGAGTTTCTTGTTATGTGGTTTGTTTATTACAATAACTTGCAAGCGACAAACTTCCTTCCAATTATACTTATTCCCCAATTTTGTCTATTTTTGTTGTCAGAAGGAGACTATATTGTATTATGTATGTCTACAGAACCTAGCAAAAAAATGTTGTGTTTAGAATATATAGGCTTGAATCTAGGATGGCTCACAAGAATAGGAAGGCACTTCCACTTGCACAAGGAAAACCTATTCAGATTTTCTTCATTTCCTGCTCCCTATTCTATATCCTCTGCTGCTCCACAGATTCTCTTAATGTTCAGAACTTATGGGAGGGGTGGGAGAGAGCTAAATTACTTAGGAAGACCCTGTTCCATGAGGAGACATCTTCTCTCTTGTATGTGCATTGAAACTGCTAGGGAACAATAACCACTTCTCTTGTTATAAAACTGGACTCCGATTACACTAAGATCATTCATAAATGAAAAAAAAACATTTTTTCCTTTAACCTGCTTATTGTGACTGCTCCATTTAAACAAGTTGATAACTACTAAACTAAGTCCTCTCCACTGAGAGTGGAAGAAGCATACCATAAAATCAGTGAAAACACAATATTATGTCAGAATCACCAGGATCACTTATGATAATAATTTAGCCTCCTCACCCCCCCAAAAAAAACAGTATTTTGTCCTCAAGTCTCTCATTAATAATAAATTTCCAGTATCATAAATATATTTGTAGGCATGTGTTGCTAGAGGTAAATAGTTTGTTGCAGAGATCTACCCTGATTACTATAGTTTTTCAATAAATAATTAATCCTATACAGTAGTTTCTACCCAATAGTATCTATTGTTCAGTATCTCAAAGGTTACAGTGTAAGTTTGTCTTTTGTTGTCAAGAGCTTGAATATTATTTTTCAGTTTTAATACTTGTCTTTATAATCAAGCTATCCACACTAATAATCCCTCTGCGCCTCTCTCTCTCTCTCTCTCTCCTTCTTCTGTTTTTTTTTTTTTTTCAAATTCTCAGGAGAGATTGGCAGAAGAAATAGACAAGCTGAGAGCTGAACTTGACCAAATGAAAATAAGAGCAGGTTCATTAATTGATCCCACATTGTCAAGGTAGCATATTTTAATCCTAGTATGTTGAATCACTGGTCACAGTCTACCTTCCACAATAGGCTGCAAACAGCTTTTGAAACTAGCATCAGTTAAGTCACAATTGTTGTGTATGTGATCCAGTTCATGCAGATGTGAACCCTATGCTTTCCCTATGATCAGGCCAGAAACAGACATTAGAGGCAGCCGTAATGAGAACTGGAAGCATATTAATGTGGGATAGAGGTGACAGGCAGTCTTTTCAAGTTTATGAAATCGAACTGCAAAGGAATCTTAAAATCCTAAAGACCAATCACCAAACAAATCAAGATAACTGGCATGCTCCCAAAGGAACCTTCCACTGTGGTGGTCAGATGCTTTCATTAGTTATGGATAATCCTCTTCTAATCATGATTATCTCTAATGCTTGTTTCTAGCCTGAGTTGCAGAATATTCCTTGGTTATTAGGTCCAAGGGTGGCAGTCTTTCATCTTCTGCATATTCAATATTTACTCATCTACCTCTTCTATAGACATACGTACGATTCAGAAATGAATGCTGTTACAGTTGTATTTACTCATCTACCTCTTCTATGGACATACGATTCAGAAATGAATGCTGTTACAGTTGACTAATAACTATGGTTCCAGCTGTAGGCCTCAGTCAGGTTCTTAGCACTGGACGTCTGTATTACTTTGCATAGTCTACCCATAAATACATTCTGCTCTGTGTCTGCATTGTATCTGTGGAGATTGTCCAGGCAAGGTTATCTGGAGGTTGAGTCATGACAACTGGACTTCTTTCTTATTAGGTTGAAACGTTTCACTACTCATCCAAGTAGCTTCTTCATTCTGCATTAATCTGCATATTTTACTGTAAGATTACTTGCATTTAAAGACATCTATTAATTTTGGTAAAATCTTTTTGAGCTGAGAATTGTATCTGAACATTTGGGATGTACAAAAGCCAATGGATAATTGAATTTCAATCAACATATTAGTCCAGCTTGTATAGATTAGCTCAGTTCATCTTGACATTTACAAGGGTCTAATTCTTCATGATTCCTTATGAAGAAAATGAGGCTGAGAAGAATAGAATAGCAGCTGGGCCTAGGACAAATTACATTCGTTGAAAATGCCTGAGAATAGTAAAACAGAAACAGCTGTAAAATGTCCGTGTTTCAAGTAATGTTGCTCTCTGAGTAATGGAATTCCTGTTTTTGCTATGAGCATTTGCATTTGATGTTGAGTGAAGTGTGCCCTCAGTGGTCTTGTGGTGCTTTTAAGATTTTTAAATTAGCCAAACAGCTATTTCAAGCCTTGTTACTTTGAAGTCTTATTCAGAAAACATTTCTCAAAGTCCTATACCTAGCTACGATTTTAAAATTTTTGTACTTAGATCCTACTTCATTCTCACCAGAATCATTAGCACTTTGCAGAGCCTTTATATAAAGCTACAGAAAAGTCCATACTTTTATTGATTTAAAAAAAAATATGGAAACTGCCTTTGAAAACTTTTTTTCACAAGCTTAGGCTTGTGCTACTCCGGCGTTTTGTAGTTAGGAGCAATGAAGAAGCTGCAAAATTAAGTTTATCCATATTGGCTTTTACTATTTCAGAATATTACTTTATTTCTTAGTTTAGTTTTAAAATCTTTGATGATCCTAAGTAATGAACTTGCACTGCAAATATGTTTGGGTACAGAAGGACCTCTTTATCCATAGGACCGGTATCCACATTTTCACTTATCTATGGTTTGCCACAGTCCTATATATAACATACAAGTGTGCTCCATTGTGGCCTTTGTCCCGTGCCCTTTTATGTTGTACATATGGTTCCTTTGTATCTGTAGTGTCAGAGGTCCACAGTAAATCTTGGACCAATCGCCGCAGATAAAGGTGTCCTACTATATAGATTTGAATTTGCTTGTATGGTTAAGTGATAGGGGTTCACTGGTCGTTGTATGTGGATGTTTACCAAAGTGACAATTATGATAGCTGAAAAATATAAAAGAATGGCTGTTGAGTAACTACATGAGCTTAATCTGCTGAGTAAATCTGTTGTAACTACACGGGCTCTTCCTCTCCTAACAGACATACTTCACGTGTCTATCTTAGGGCTTGGAAGGAATGTGCTAAAACTAACATATTAGTATTATATGTTCCGTTCCACTCTTTCCGTTGAACTAGAGAAAGTACTGTACTCTAGCTAACAATTAGAAATAATTTAAAGTTGTTCTAACACATTTCTCTACATTAAAATCATTAGTTAAGCTATACTGTGTTTCTACACTCCCCCTCCCTAGATGGAAGGCACCAGCATACCTCTAATGAAAACTAACACTATCCTGGTAATTTTTAACCTTAGCACTTCAAGTGTTCATGGGAAAATTCCTGCTACTATTTTAAAGATCCTTGAAAAAGCTTGATTGGCTAAATTAGTAGTGCCATTGCTGAAATCACCTACTAAGCCTCTCCTGGCATGGTAGCACCATGTAACATGAAGAACAAGTACTGTTTGCCACAGTTCTTGTATGGTGCCATTGATAATGGCATGGCTGAATCTGTTGCTATGAGAGTTAGAACCAGCTTTGCTTCTTCTCTGCTCCTCTGTTTGAGTCAATTGCCTCATTTAGCCAAATGAGAAAGCCAACTCAGGGATGAACACACCAGAATCCTCCAAGACTGAGGACTTAATATGGGAGTGGTTCCATTTTCATTCTTCTTTTCAGGTAGATATTTATGTGAGATATACAGAATAAAGGGGAATAAATGTAAGAATGAGAGGTTTTTGAGGATTGTACTCCTTATCTCCCACATTCCACTGTTATCACTCTACCCATACTGTACCACACTGGCTTTCAAGAAAATGTGTCTCACTTGCAGTTTAACAGACTATTTTGTTTTTATGAAAATACATCACAGATTTTTATTGCCCTCACAGTATTTTAGACAATCAACCACACTTCTTTCTTTGTAGAATATGACAAAGCATATTCTACAAAGGCAGGCGGTGCATCACAGCCTCTCCCAATTTGAAGAGCCCCTTGTCCAGCAGGCTGAGGCAAAGAGGCAGTCACGAAAGCAGCAAAAGCAGGGAGCTAGACGGGGTACAGATTGTATTTGTATTCCATGTGGAAGGGACTGTCACTCTCAAACTGGCCTTCTCAGCCACACTAGACGCTGTTCCAAGTCCTCCATAGAGAGCACGATACCATAGTCTCTTGAGACTGAAGTATGCCTAATCTAATGATGAAGAAGATTTGTGCATATTATAAACACTTTATTAATAATTTATACTTGCATATTATTTTGCTTTTGTGAATTTTTTAGGGGGGACAGGGGACCTTCTTATTCATTTGCCACAACTATTTTCCAGACCCCATCTTGATTCATCAGCAGAACTGAGATACTCTGTGGGTTCCTTAGTTGATACTCAGCCAGATTATAGGTCTACAAAAGTGATTAGAAGACCTAGAAGAGGCCGCATGGGAATCCGGAGGGATGAGCCAAAGGTTTATCTTTTTACTGTATTTTGTTGTCCTTCTTCTCACTAAAGCTTCAGATATACCTGATAAAAAAATCTATTAAACTCAATAGTACTTCCTTCTGAGTACGTACGGTGTGCATAGTTGTGTTATAAAAGCAGTATCATTAAAAGCAGTACCTTGTTTCAGTAATGGAAAGTATGTTTTAGCCATAGCACTCTGGTGGAATGTGAGTGTTAGAGGCACAGCAGCCACTCCATATTATTGATTCTGATTGGTGAGAAACCAGTACAGACCTTGCCTCATGCTCTTTCCACTTTTTGGACAACATGCCGTAGATGAGCAACAATGGTGGCTTTATGCTTCCAGATACTGTTTCCAGTTCCTGAAATATATCTTTAAAAACCCAAATGATAGTCCTTAGAAATATTACTCTTAAATTCAGACCCACTTGGGCTGCACATTATTCTGTTCCTGTGAATGGAAACTATTTTTAAAAGTGCAGTAATGTCCCCAAATTATCATCTTTTGTCATCAGTGATGTTAGTATAGCTAAACTATTTTAGATTATACTCTCTTACAGTAGCTTTCCTCAAGCTGTTGCCTTGAAATGTGTTGAACAATAAATCCCATCATCTTCCACCAGCTGGTTTGGGATGATGAGACCTGTGGTCTGACACATTTGGAAGGGCCTGAGATTTTAGGAAAGTTTTTTTTAAGTATAATTGTTGGCCTTGTGTTTTTCTAATAGCATGAAATACAGGCCCATATGATGTCATAATGCAGCCATACAAAATTAGCAAAAATGATATAAGTGTCTCTTGCACAAGTGGCCTGAGAAAAGAGAGAGGTGTTAATCACTGCAACAGCTAGCTGCTCAGTTTTTAATTTCTGTGAAAATTAACATTTTGCATTAGGCTAATTATTATTCATTTCTACAATTTCTAATTAGGTGAAATCCCTTGGAGATCATGAGTGGAACAGAAGCCAGCCCATTGGAATTCTGAGCAGCCATCACTTTGAAAGTGACACTGAAATGTCTGATATTGATGATGATGATAGAGATACCATTTTTAGTTCCATGGACCTTCTGTCACCAAGTGGGCATTCTGATGCCCAAACTCTCGCCATGATGCTTCAGGAGCAACTAGATGCAATCAATAAAGAAATCAGGTGCTTTTACTTCTCCTAAAAGAAGAGCTATAATAATAACACTCTTGAAAATTAGGTCAGTTTTAAAATGAATGGACATTTAAAAATGGACATTTAAAAATGAATTGCAAAATTTATCAAAAATCACGAATTCATGGCTTCATATTAATCTGAACTGATGCCCCTGACAAATACGAATCAATGAATTTCTAGAGGTTTTTGATTTGTCAGTTCTTTGGACTATAAAACAACCCCAAGGCACCTAAAGACACAAAAATCACAGTGACTCTTCTCTACAATCTCTCCAAATTTGGTGAAGATTGTGTTTCCCTGAGCCAGCTTCTAAAGGGCATTTTCCTGGGGAGACACACTTTATGGGTGTACAAATTGGATGTCTGAAACACAATTTTCATCAAAATAGCAGGATTGTAGAGGAGTCAGGGGAAGCTTCTCTGCAATATTGCTGTCTCTAGGTATTGGGGGCGTTTTATAGGGTCTTGAAAGCAAAAATGAATTGACAAATCAATTTGTTGATTCATCAGAAAAAATGTACATTTGTTATTCATGGTTCATCAACCATGACAAATCCTGAATCAAAACAAATCACTATTTTTCTGATATATGCCCATCTCTTATCCCCACATTGGCAGAGAGAAACTGGTAAGGCATAGGGAAACTGGCTTGTTAAAGTCTGCCTGGCGAGGTAATGGCAAAAGTGAAATTTAGGAACTCCCTGATTTCTAGTTTAGGCCTTATCCACATCCAGTTTTGTTGGTAAAGCTTAAACCTTATACTCTTAGATAATTTATCTCTATGCCTAATATGTGATATATTCCCATTTTCTGTAGACCTGCACTGTATTCAGAGTAGGATTGGGGAACATGTAGCCCTCAGATTATTGCTTGGCTGCTACTCCTATGACCTCTCAGCTGGTGGCTTTGCTGGCTTGGGGTTTCTGGGAATTTTTGCAGTTCTGCAATATTTATAGGGCCATATAATCCTCATTCCTGGTTTAGAAGTCTCTTTTGTTAAAAAAAATACTATGCCATGTACTGGAGTGGTAAACAATTAGGAAACAAGAAGGTTAATCATTGCCATAAATACATCCTGAGAATCAGGTTGATGGTCTTTCTTCTTTAGATTCTAAATCTTTTGCAGGTTTAGAATACACATGTAAAATAGTTCTTAAGAAACAAAAGAATTCACTTTTTAAAAACAGAAGCAGAAACCCAAGATGCCCAGAGTTTAAGCACAAGAAACTTCATGTGACTCTGGACACACAGTATATACATTATCCAGGTAACAAGGCATTAGACTTGCAATAATATAGAAAAAAATAAGCCAGCTGAATTATGCTATGAATTTGTTAGCAGCAGCACAAGCAGCAGCAAATAAATAATATGCTGTCAGGTTGCTTCTACCTTATGCCAGTCCTCCATCCCAGAGTTTTCCAGATGTAAAATACTCAGAAGTAGTTTAACAGCTCCTCTTTATAGTGGCGCTCTGGGACTGTGTAGCTCATCCAAGACAGTGTATGTCATGGGCACAGAACACCATAAACTACACATGTTCCAGGTAATGTTGGCTAGTCTCCCTTCTAGGAGGTACAGTGGAGGATTCAAACTCTTGACCATTGTCTCTGCTGCCAGATGCTCCTCATGACTGACCTATATTAGCTTTGTAACAGGCAGTTAGATAAACATAGAGTTTAAATGGCCAGGACCATAGTACTAGAAAAAGGAAAATATAATCTTTTCCCCATGCCATATTCCTAAACTAAGAATCATTTCCTTCTTCACCCTCTTAGCACCATAAGGAAAAACATGCATGGGGAGTATGGTTTTTATCACAGTCCAAATAACAGCCTGAGGGGAAATTTAAACCAGGAAATGGTGTAAGGTAAAGAGTTAGATTCTCTCTGCCCAGCTCTGTGGCCTTATCCTGATTTTTGCCTCTCAGGTTCTTTTACATAATATTTCAAAAGATAAGAGAATTTATGGATCAACAACATCTTATTTAGTCTGTCAGTGTCACTTGTGAAAACGCCTCATTAATCTTTTGTTGTGTAGGGGCATCAATGCACTCTTAAAACCAGTCTTAGAACATTATTCTTACAAGACCTACTGTTTATTTCTGCTGTTTCCCAATTCTTTATGTAGGTTAATCCAGGAGGAAAAAGAATCAACTGAATTGCGGGCTGAAGAAATAGAGAATAGAGTAGCCAGTGTAAGTCTTGAAGGCTTAAATCTGGCTAGGGTGCATCCTGGCACATCTATTACAGGCTCAATTACTGCTTCCTCGCTTGCAAGTTCTTCCCCTCCCAGTGGACACTCAACTCCTAAACTCACTCCACGCAGCCCAGCCAGGGAAATGGATAGGATGGGAGTCATGACATTGGTAAGAAAATTTACAAATAAAGTTTTGTGCTGCTAGCTTAGTTTAATTACCAAGGACTTTTCTTTAAAAAGAATATTTGTTTATGACTTGCTGCTTCTTCGGTTCATTTATTTATTCAGCTATCACTATGTTTGTGTCAGTAGTAAAATCTTGTTAGCCGTGAACCCAAACCATTAAACATTTGTGGTCTCGGCCTATTGCCAATGTTATACAATCTAGTGTTATACAAGAAACAGTTAATATTTGTATTAAAGTCAGTGTTTGAGCTGCTGAGATGCAGCCTCTTAAGTGTTTTGTTTTCAGGAGAGAGGCTTCTTGGTTATGTATGTCTTTTGTCTGCCGAGCAGCAGGAGAATAAAATATTTGATGCTAAGGTCCCCATGGCCTATACTGTATCTGCAGCCATTTTGGTATGGGAGATGATTGCAAGTGAGTACTCTATTGGGCTGTCTAAGACACCAGTGGGCAAAACATACTGTGCAGCTTACACACAGAGTCCACTCCTTTCTGGTTTTGTGCCCTTCACAGTACTGTCATCTTTGCTATATGCCAGCATTGGGCTCTTAGATACTCTCTAGAAAGCTCAGATCTCCCCTAAAATAAAGTCTGGAGCCAGTTTACCCTTTGATTTACAGAGGGGATGTGTGTTTCCGTAACTAAACAAAGGTTTTTCCACTATTAATTGCATTTGTACTGCCAAATTTCACTGTCACTGAATTATAAGGAATGTTTGTCTCAATGAGACCAGCAAATGAAACTAACTACTGGTCTCACTGAAGTTGCTCAACCCCTCTCTAGGGTGGTTTTTTTTTTAAGAGCAGGGTGAAGAACCCATGGTCTTAAGCATAACTATATAAACTTCACTTCAAATGTAGGTGGTTAGGAAATAAAAGGAAATTAACAAAAGAGGGTGGCAGGCAGAAAACAAAGGAATGACTCCACCCACAATGATTCCTGGTTCCATGCATTCCCAACAAATTATCTAACCCACCTGCCATTGCTAAGGAAATGCTTCCTCAACAACAGCAACAAAATGATCTGTGTGTTTCTCCTATGAAGAACATAGGTTCTTCAAACTAAAATTATATAAACTTAATAGAATCAGTGGGATGTAGTGGATGAAGTTCTGAACACAAGAGTATTAGGAACTATGAAATTATAGCCTCCATTCAGCTATGACATTTACTGAGTTCCAAGCTTAAAAGAAGGGAGAGCCCTCTGAGCTTGGACAAATTGTGTGATTAAAATTTGACTGCTGCTGTTATAACAACAGGTGATATTTTCTGGTCTGGTGGGAAAAGGAGATGAATATGCACTGCTTTCTAGTTCAGCTAAATTGGTCTGATAATGGTTCTCTCTCTCTCTTTTCTTGTCAATTCCAGCCAAGTGATCTCAGAAAACATCGGAGAAAGGTATGTGTGCTACTGTGGAGGTCCCCACACACGTACCCATTTTCACATGAAAGACAGCAGTAGTTGCAAAGCTAGAATTTTGCAAGCACTTTTTCTTAATAGTTTTGCAAAATGAACTTCTGCATTTGTGATTTTTAAATGATGGTTGTGTAGTGTTTGAGATATGGTGTTTCATATAGTTAGTTTAATAATTGTGTTGTTCATTCTTCTTAATTGTAAAATAACCTACATTTAATAGCAGTACCGTTTGCAAATATCTACATATTTTGAAACTAGCAGAACCTTTTACAAGGCAACTTCAGAATTCTTAAGTGGATGCTATTTTACTGATACAAAATTTTAAATGCATACTCACTTTTGAATGTGTATCCATGTGTAACTTTGCTTATGTACACAGAAATTAATGAGAAACTATTGGTGCAAATCAGGTTACTCATAAGTTTCATTATTTGAGTTTTATCTTTTGTTTTTGTCTTAATTTTGTACACAACTGTTTTATCCCCCAGCTGCTCTTCAAGCTGAAGCTTCGATTTATTCAGAACAAGAGTATTGGTTATCCATACAGAGGTTATGTAAATTAGCCTAATTTTGAAAGCTTGTAAGGGCCACAAATTTTGGACCCAAAGGAAAATGGGACTTGAATGAAACCTAGGGTTAGCCCTTAGTACATGTCTTTGAGACTGAACAGTACTTTTTATGTGAAATGTACATTTGCTTAGAAAGTTTGATGAATTTCAAACATATTTGGTTTGTTACCTGTTTACATTCCTTTCTCAAATGACATAGAATTTTGTTTCTAATTATGAAAATGGTTTGTCTGCAGATTGCAGTAGTGGAAGAAGATGGGCATGAAGACAAAGCTACAATAAAATGTGAAACTTCTCCTCCTCCAACGCCTAGAGCCATTAGAATGACTCATACTCTACCTTCTTCATATCATAATGATGCCAGAAGGTAAGAAGCGCATTGCTGGAAACAGCCATGATTTTCATATGCTGCATTTTAAGCATTTAAGATCAACTTCCACACAAACTCCAGTGTATGCCCTTAAGTGTGGTTGTCTTGAAAAACAGGAAAACTTGTTTAGCCCCACAAGATGATCTGTGTGCTTTGTACTCAATTAATGATAGTTTCTGAAGGGGGAAATAAAGAAGACAGGAACAGAAAGAGGTACTGACTAGGACAGGATGTTTGCAAAACAGTTGCTTTTTCCATATTGTTACTTGTATGAATCATGGCAATTCTTGGTCACCTCTTTAAACTTGCAGGAATCACCTCACATAAATAACATAATTATCTTGCAATTGTCACTTACATTTGTTTGAAATGAGTCCCTCTAGAAATATTTTGCTGTTATTTGTAGACATAGTACAGATCTTAAATTGATAAATGAAATGGGAAATGTTATGAAAATAATGCTTCAATGTGTTACATATATTTAAACCCTTTTTCACTGAGATGCTAAAAAGGCACGTGAGTCATGAAATAAATATTACAAATATTACAAATCAGAGTTCTAAACTGGGTAATATTTGAGTCTATTATTGACAATTGTCATGTGTCATGAACACTACCCAGCTGTCTGAAAGGAAAGGAAAGCAGCTCTCCAGAGATCATTGTCTGTTAATATTTAGACATTTGAGATATGATATTAGACATACTGAGATATGAATGAAGTATTTCATCTTGTCTCCTTGAAATACAGTCTATTTTGGATCCCTGTTCTTGAGTGCTTGAGTAGTTAGTCCCAAGTAAATGATACTTATTGTAACAGTGGAACATACACAAGTATTGGCTTATGAATGTTCATTCACTAAATGGGTCTGATCTAGTTGGAACTAACCACTGGATGTAAATAAATACATATGTAGGCCTTTGTTTTAGTACTTTACTGTGGGCTTTCTCTACACATGAATAAAACAGTGTTAGGATTTGCAGTACTGATTACAATTCATTGAGCTGACTCCAGAGTGGGAAGTAGAAAGGTAGTCTGATGATGGAATCTATTATTTCTGTGGTGAAATGCCATTCAGTCAAGCAACAACAAATTAACTTTTGGTTTTGATTGACCCGTGTTTAAAAAAAAAACTTATGGAAGGATGCAATTTTTGATAAAAAGCAAAGCGTGCTGCTTATATACCGCCCCATGGTTTACAATTTAATTATGCAGGCTACACATTGCTTGTGTTACAAATGTTTTTGAATCTAATAATTCTGAATTCTTGAAAATTATAGTAAGAAAAAACAAATTTTTGATTGAGGCAATCTTTCTAGATAGAGTTGTTTTAGTACAACTTCCAGAATTTGTAGGATAAGCTTTTACTAGAGGTTTACACATGATTTCATATGCAACAAGTGTTGTTTTCAAATCGCTACCATGACTGCCAACTTCTTAGTAGCTTGTCAAATGTGGTAATAACATATGCATATGTTTTACCTTACATATTACTTCTGAATAGATAGCAGCATTTTAGTGTAGAAACAAGGCGCACAAGAAATGTCCATCTTCCTTTAATAGGGAAATGTTGTTTTGAACTGTCAGCGATAGGAGCAGAGATTACAGAATGTACAGAAATGGGGGAGCGCTGCATGCAGCCCACGGGCCACATGTTGTCCATATCTGATGTAAAATGACCCAGTCTTTCTGTATTACCAGTTAGATCTACCTCATATCAAAACAGAGAAGAAGCAATCAAAGTAAAGTCCTACCTCATCTCTCAGGTGCCAGCATCCCCACTATAGGGAACCTGAGACTTGGGGATGCGCCCAGGGTTCATACACTAGATCTGCTACTAACAATAGAAATGTAAGCAAAATTACCCTTATGGCAGGAAATCTTTCCTAAGTGAACATCACTACCACCTCCAGTCAACATCATGGCCATTGAGAAACATCATAATACTACTTTGGGAAACCTTGAGGGTTCCTTGCCTGGATAAGCTCAAAAGAGATGTTTCACATACCATGCCTAAAAGAAAGAAGCTGGCTTTCTTTAGGCCTTCACCCTTTTTTTGCTCAGAATAAAGGTCTCAGGTAAGAAGAAAAAAATCTCCCTTTTAGAGAACTAAACAATATTTCATCACCAATACAATTTGTCTTTTTTTTTAAAAAATCAACATGTTTTTGATAGATTTTAACAAGACACTGATGAAATATGTCTTCTTTCTGTCACTTTTTGTTAGATAGACTCCTCTTGATCAACATCAGGAAGATAGGAAAATTTAGCCATTGTGCTGTTCTAAATATTGTTGTAACACAGAAAAGAAGCCATGAGTAATTTGATCAATGTGTCCAATTATGGAAGACATCATTATTAGATCTAGATAATTTGTTTGCACAGCTGCCTAGGAAGGATGAGACCTCATAAAGATAATAATGTATTATCTATCTTTTGTGTGTATTTTATAGTAGCTTGCCTGCATCCTTGGAGCCAGAAAGCATTGGTTTTGGCAGTGTCAGTAGCAGCCAGGATTCCCTACACAAAGCTCCTAAGAAGAAAGGAATCAAGTCTTCAATAGGACGTTTGTTCGGTAAAAAAGAGAAGGCTCGACTTGGACAGCTCAGTAAGGAATTAGTTGTACCAGGCTCAGGGTCACTGTTTCCACTCATTTATATCTTTCTTTTTTTTCTTTTCTTTTCTTCTTCTTTTTTTGGGTCCTTTTTTTGTTAATAGTTTGGCTACTTTTTTCTGTATGTTTTTCTTTTCCAAACATTCATATTTTTTTTTCTTTTCAAGTAGTGGAATCTTTCCCATGCAATTCTCTCAGTGTTGGCTGTTGTATTTTCCTAAACAAGCAGGCAAGATTAGACCAATATGGCTTTATTTACATTTGCCATCTTGGAAAAATCATTCACATCTAGCTTCGCCAAGACTTAAATTAAAAAGGTTGGTAGCACATATAAATCTGCCAACAAGCTCCATACTACAGTAATTATCCTCCCTGGTTAGGCTGAACATCAAAGATATCAGAAAGCTTGAATTTAGTAAAGCATTGGTCCTCATTTTTTTCTTATCAGTGGAGATAGCTTCTGGTCTTTCACTTATTTAACAAAATTCCCTCCTATCTTTTTTTGCGGTCTTAATATAAATCTTTATACAACTTATTAGAAGAGCTGCAGTGTGTTCCAACTGTCTTTTAGTGATACAGAATATATGTCTTTTACAAGTGTGTACACAAAGAGCTTTAGAAAAGGTTATTTGAAAAAGGTTATTTGGAGCATATTTAGGTCTCCTTAATGAAATTACTAAAGTTAATCAAAACAGTAAGTCACCAGTTAAAAGAATATCAGCAACCAATTATTAGAGTAGCTGTCATTTGATATTGAGGGTCAGCATACACGAATGAGTTGGCCTTATGAATTTTGTAGGGATGGCTTATGAATGGGAGCGGACGTGTTCTCCCTACAAATTTTGGTATAGTCATCCCCTTGCTGCTACTGCAAGCCACCTGTGCGATCATGTAGGAATACAATATGCATTCATAGTGTCATCATATCTTTCAATTCACAATGAATGTCTTCATATAGTTGTAATATAAACAATGCCACATTTTAGTGAAGTTCTGTACATTTCATTGAAAAATATCCAAGAACTTACATTTCTCACTCCCGTAGTGCCACTGACAAAAGTTATCACAAAGATCCATATTGAACCTGGGTGTATATGAAAAAATCTCTTTAATTAAGGAACAGCCTGTGCTTTACAAGTACACAGACAACTAATGTTAAAGCATGCTACCAAAGTCATAGAAATTCCTTATTCTGAACTTTTTTTTTAATATGGTTGTGCTTTAAAATATTCATAAACTTGGAGAGAAAGTTGACCATTAGAGCCATATTGCAGGGTTCCATTTCTGATTATCTGGCACCTTCCTCTTTACCTGCAGAAACATTAGAATTAGGCTGCAGTCCTGAGATTGCTTACCTGACAATAAATCCTGTTGCATTCAGTGGCTGAAATCCTTTTGTGCAGCTCCATGTGCACAACAGAGATGATGACATTACTAGCAGCAAACTGCCATTAATTACACACAAATGGCCACTCATTAAAGGTGATTTTGGGGTGAACACAATTTGTACAAAATACACCAAAGTAGCATGCACCATGAAATCCCAAAAGCCAGGCTTTTCCTTAATCACAGGCAGTCTGAGAGGGTTTTTTTAATGGATGTTGTACAACAGTTTTTAATTTTTTCATTGATTTTATTTACATTTTTTAATATAGGTTATTATTTACCTATATTATAACCTATTATTATAGATTATACTTGTTTAATTCTTTTTAAATGTTTGTATACTTATTATTTCTTTTTTAGTTGTGACTTCCTTTTATAATTAAGTAACCTGCAACATCCACCATGCCACGTTTCATAAAAAATATTTTTGATGGGGTAATGTCATCCCTTTTCAGAAAGTAGAGGCTTTCTTCTCCCCACAACAGGCCTGTTTCTCATACATACACATACACATTAATATCCTATTCTGAAAGGTCAAGGAATAAATTATTAAATAAGGGCTACAACACATATAAGGTGACCTCCAACCCCCAGAAAACAAGTTGTTACCCCCTTGGGGGTCGTGACCCTCAGGTTGGGAAACACTTGTCTAATTGTATAAAACAGCTTTGCAATTCTGAAGATGAATGTGGAGTAAATTATTATCAAGACTAAAATCCAATTGAAGAAAAGGATCTTGACCGTAGTATATTTTCCATTGTGAAATATATATGAATAATGACAAGGGAAGAGTTGTGCCACATTAACCATACATATATGAGTATTTGTACTCCCAGATACTTTCTGTAGCTGTTCAGAACCATCAACATTCAGAGTGAGTTTGAATTCTGATTGTTAGGGAATAACAGTAGTTCTTATTGAAGTGTTATCTTTAATGTTATACATTTGGGCTTCCTTAAGGTATCTGGCTGGCCTATATGGGGATGATGAACTCATCGGGCCTTTGGCTTTATCCCTCTAAGCTATTCTTTTCATCTGTACTTATGTTTTTAAATAAAGGAAGTGATTAAAGCTTGAAATCACATTCTTTGTTTTGTACCACCACTAAACTTCTTTCTTGTTATCTGAACACAAAACGTTGTTTCAGTGAAAGCTTGCTCTGTGCACTCCTGGCCACAATCATTGCTGAATATTTTGTTTCACGGAATGCTCTAATACGTGTAGTGTATAATACTAAGGATAGTAGGATCCTTACTGTAAACTCATTTTTATATAGATTTTCACAGTAAAGATCCGCAGGGTTGGCTAGGGTCAACCCAATTGGTGTACTAGAGAGAAACAGGCAATACTGGGTTGCTTTTTTACTTTTCATACCCTAGTGACACTCAATATCAACTGATTTACTTATTATACAATGAAAATAATCTTCCACTATATACCTTTTAAGACTGATTATACGATTCTCTCTTCTCTCCCCCCTCCCTTCTTCATCATTTGGATTTACTGTCCTTTTATTTCATTTGAACATTTCTTCCAGCATGTGTTATTGAAATCCCCCTGCCCCACCCCTTTGTTTCATATCTAGTGTCTTGTTCTTAAATTCAAACTTTCTTCAAGCGTGGAGGCAAATGCAGTTTGAGAAAGAAAAGTGTTTCCAGTTGGAAGCTGAGAAGATACATGAAAATGTTTTTTAAGTGTTACATGTATAACCATATTTTGTGGCATCATCTCTTAATTTAAAATAGCACAATGGTACATTGTAGCATATTATTTATGTGTGAGACTTGGTATGGTACAGTACTTTGCTGTGGTAGGATGAATATTTGAATTATATATGGTGATGTGATCGTGTAGCTCAGTGGTTCCCAACCTTTTTCGAGTTGCACCACCTCCTTTTACAATAGCTAAGTAGCCCGTTGCCCCCCCTTGCCATATTTACATTAAAAAGCATTTTTAATGGAATAAAGTCATCTCAGAAAGAAGAGGCCTTGTTCTCCCCCAAGGGGCCTGTTTTTCATACGTACACATACACACTAACTTTAATATCCTGCTCCAAAAGGTGAAGGAAGAAATTTAGTAAAGGCTGCAATACACTAAATTTAGGGTGACCACAACTCCCCAGAAAACATCGAACCCCTTGGGGGTTGCAACCCCAAGGTTGGGAAACACTGGTGTATCTGAAAAAGTATGTAATTTTCTGTGCAGCTTATTTATGCCATATGTGGATGGTTAGCCTACAAGGCACTGACAAAATATGTACAGTATCTTCATCTGTCCGTGCCAGCCAGCCATAGGAAATGGAGCACTCTTTTTTAAAAGAGTTGAATGTCAGCTACCCTTGCCTCTTGACAGATATTGTATTGTTTTTAAAGGTTGATTGTCTTTTATGACAGAAGGCCGGGGGAAATGTACGCCTCTTTGAAAAATCACGTTCAGCATTCCTAAGAACTATTGGATTGTACCTCTAGTAACATGATCAGAAAGCTACTCATGAACCAAAGCTTTCCTTCTTTCTTGTCCCCAATCTGCTTCTAATTCCCACCAGCAAAACACGTAAGAAAAACCTAGTTTGTGGTGCAAAGGAATCCTGGTGGGAGAAGTGAATTATAAAAAATTGAGAACTGGAAAATATGTTGCAGATAACTTGTAATTAGAAAAGGGTATTCCTGAATTGTTGAAAGTATCCGATTCTTTCTCATCTCTCACAGTTAGCTTGTCAGCTGCTCTCACATAATGCCAGGGGTTGGGACATATAAGTAACCACATGACACAACAGCAGTTTGGAAGAAGAAGGACACAACTTTATTGGTTACAGCTGTCCCAGTCCTAGCACTAGCATAGGGGATGAATTTGTATCAACTTACCCACCTGATGGCTGATGTTAACCAAGATGACAGGATCACAGGGCTAAACAAGATTGACATATGCCACGGTGTGATCCCTGCTTGCCACCTGGAAACTGAGAGTGTGTGACTGCCTCCAAACTAGGCCTATGCATCTCTCTGCACTCTACTGCCTAAGGGGGAACTGCTAGGAAAGGTCAAATACCTGCTCAGCCCTTCCCCATTTGTATAGATTCATCCTCATGCTTACAAACCATCTCAATAAAGTTGTGACAAAGACAGTACAGATTATAATAACCAAAATGCCATTAAACAACATAAAACAAGGAAGGGAAAAGAGGAGAAAGTCCAAAGCACACTAGCTGCTCCAGACAAGACCTTTTAATAGTTCACAGGCAGAGAGGAGTAGAAGCCTCTTCACTTCTGTCCACCAAGACCTTTTTATAGTTCACAGGCAGATGGGAGTAGAAGCCTCTTCACTTCTGTCCACCTGTGAAGCAAACCCTGCCCCCAGCCACCCTGATTGGCTGGCATCTAGTGCACAGGGAGAAAAAAAACTTTCTTTATTTATTTAACTTATATCCCACCCACACTACCCAAAGGTCTCTTATGACAGACAGGTCTGAAAATGGCAGTATCCATGCCACCAACATCCATCATTATGGGCAACAAACCCAACCCCAAGTAACTATCACCATCCTATTACAATATTGTTTACTTGCACTTGGTTCTTTCCTTCCCAGTACAGAGTACAATCAGAGATTTAGCTACAGGATTCACAGCCTGTGTGAGTGTGTGTGTGTGTGTGAGAGAGAGAGATTCAGAAAATTTTCAGAATTTAAATAAAAGATGAACAGAGTTCTTGACAAAGTGTCAAGGGAGGACATCTTTTTACTGTTTTACCACAGGAGGTTACATGGAAACAGAAGCTGCAGCACAGGAATCTCTGGGACTGGGCAAACTTGGAACGCAGGCAGAGAAAGACCGAAGGCTAAAGAAAAAGTAGGTTGTTTGGTCACCCACCTGTCATATTCTGCCCTGCTTTTATAGTTGACATGATTGTTGTTTGTTTGACTATAGGAATACATTTAATTAAGAAAACTGATAATATTTGCTAGGGATAGTTTGTAAAACAGCATGAATTTTAAATAAAAGGAAAATTGTAGGTTTGCCTGGGGAAAATATATAAGATTTTATGTTGGAGTCACAAAATGAGCAGGCCGATAATGTAGTCACAAGTAATTAGGATAGCAAATAGTCTTAGAGAGATTAAAGTTAAAGAAGTCAGCCACACACAAGGATATCTGCCAGCAGTGCTCCTGATGGGCGACTAGTAGAAGAGGACCTCAAATAAGATGACTGCCCTGCCCCCAGGAGGACTGTGTTTATTAACCTTACATGCTCACAGATAGTTGACAGTATACAGATAGGACAAGAGTTACATAATGCCATTATGACTGGCTCAAGGAAAGGCTTTGAAGCTAGCTCCTTATCACTATGAGAAAGAGGAAGAACAGGTAGTAGCTCCTCCCAGAAGCAGCTGTGATGTCATCCAGGAGAGTTTGCTCTACTACTGTAGAATCAGCCAACAGCTTAGCAAAATTTGGGGAGGGGCATTCCCCCACAATTTTACAAGAAGGAAGATGTCCCTCAAGTGTATTTTCAAAAAATAAACACAATGTAACACACTTTACATTCCTTTATGGGGCTTACACTGTGAAGTGTAGGTTGTCTACATTTATCTATGAGCAGCTTATTGTAAATTGCCGATGTTTTCCATTGGTACTGGTATCTGTTTTCTCTCCAATCTGCAATAAACATGACAAGCTGCAGTTCAGTGTATATGCATTTCAGGATAATTACATGTTTTCTTCCAGTGCATTTACTTTAAAAGCTAATTCAACAGCTGATATGATGACTCAGGACATGTAGATGATGGTAAAATACAATTATTTCTGCCTCGTTATCTGTCATATTCCATAGAAGAACAATATAGTTTTTAAAACCATAGAGAAGGAGAGTTTATAAAAACAGAAGGGTATTAACAGTGAGATATGTTTTTTAAAATTTGAATTTTTCTTTGTTTGATATGATTTCTGAAGTTTTTCTCAAAGGATTCTCATGTTCCTTCATTTCACTGATCCTTTCAATTGTTTGTTGTTTTCATAATCTCACATGCTTTATACTGTCAGCTTTTCCATGTCTGTGTTCCAGTACCTGTTCATGTTTATTTTTAACGTGTGTGAGAGTCTTTTTTTCTATACTATGTGTGCCATTGAAAATATGTTTTTTCCACTATTTGGCATGTAAAAATCCAAAAAGAGCCATCTGAGATGGAAGTCCACAAAATAGGCTGTCTTGGCATGATGAGACCTATATAACATACTTTCACTCCCCATAATGTTTCTCATAGCCATAGATCTATATAATTTATTTTCATGTTACTGTTTTCCCAACAGATGACTATGTTATAAAATATGTTTCATATTCTATTTAAAGAAAGAAAGAAAAAGGAAGCATTAGGAATGTTGAACAGTTTGCTGTTGGTAATGTAAAAGTGTTTGATGAAGAAATGCTGTCATGCAGCATTTGCACCCCAGTCTGTGGGCTCCAGTGGCACATGGTGCATGGATCCCAAATACATGTAAGGTCATTCAATTTACTGTAGTTTCATACCTTTCTTTTTTCTCCCTTATACTTGAAGGATTAGTAGTAGTTGTTATCGTTGTTGGAGGAGGAGTATATTCTTGATACAGCTTTTTTTCTTACATGGCATTAAGACCAACTTTTTCACAACACAGAAAAACAGCATCAGTGTGGCTGACAGCTTTGTCTGAAAAGCACCTGCATTCAGGGGAGCACATCTTCAGTAGGTGAAAACAAAGATGTTTTCCTTTGTATGTGAGACCCATTGCTCCCTTTTGGTAATCTACATTCCACGGTCCTTCCATGGATAAATAGAAATCTCTCTGCAAGAAAACTTTCAGATGAGGGATGAATGTCAACTTTGGCTTTATAAATGAGGGCAGCCCAATAGAGTACAGTATTACCTCTGCTGTCATTTCAAAGATCAAAGAAGCTGGACTCTTCCAGGATATTGCACTGGGGATTGAACTAGTAAGACAGGAAACGTTGTTAGAGTGCCAGTGACTTAAAGGCTCCTGATGCTACAAATACATGATGGACCAAAATATTAATTGTTTAGAAAACCTTTTTCAATGAAAGTGGTGCTCTTGTGTGTGAAATTCATTAAAAGAGAAGTTTCCTGAAGCTGTGATCTCAAACCTCGTTGCTTCTGTGGAATCACTACAACTGAATCATTTTGTGTATTCACACTCTGAAATACAGGATGCAAATAATATGAAGTGTCTCTCAGAGAAATATGCAATTTCATAGACTTCACACTTCATTAGTCAAATACATCTATTGTTGATTTCACATACTTGTTACATTCATTTGTGGTTATTGCAGCTGGCATGGATTTGATTTTCAGAAATTCAATCAAAAGCAAATAAATTAAATGAGGATCATTTATTTATCATCCTGTAATCATTCCCACATTTACACTTTATTGACTGAAGTTCATGTCTTCAATTACTACATTTTACAAAGAGAGCAAGAAGATTAATTATCAATTTAAAAGTTTGCATATAAATGCATATTCTTTTAAAACTCTGCATTAATTTGGATGAAGTGAATTCAATATAGCTATGAAATACAAATGCTACATTTTATAATAGGAAATAATAATATTAATTTGAATTGTTCAATGTGCCTATCAAATTGCCCCATTCCTTCCATATTCAGAATTTTGAATCTGGTTTTTATTTTAATTTTCCAAACAAGTCTCCATTTTTTATTTTTACTGACATATATTTAATTTTTCTTCCTTCCCCCCCCATAAAGAAGGTAATAGGTCTCAAAAACATACATTATCATTGAACCAGAAAGGGAAGTAAATATGAATATTTCTGCAGTTCTATCTAATCAAGAGGTTGAAG